ATTGTTACAGTGCGTCAGAGTTAGAATTTTGTTACAGTTCGTCAGATCTAGAATATTAAAAAAGTGTTAAAGTGTTAATCCAGATGTATCGGGAAATTTTTAAGATTAAATTAAAAGTTATAAAATGGTATAGTTTGATATTCTAGATTTCGTTGTGTTTCTCCAGCTCTTGGGATACCCAACAAGTGAAATATTATTTGATTAAAGTATGTCTGATGGTTTTATTATCTGTTTGTTTCACGGTTTGAACTCGCGGCGGGGAGGTGTTAACTCCGCTAGGGATTCTGTCCGACTGAGGACCCAGAGATTTTAACTCCCGTAGTCTCTTGTCTCTCTCCGTCCAAACCCTGCTCCTGGCTATCAGACAAGGTTAAACTATACTTCATTTTCAGAATAATACTCCCAGCTTACTCCGGGCATCTTATCTTATCTTATCTTATCTTATCTTATCTTATTTTATCTTATCTTATCTTATCTTATCTTATCTTATCTTATCTTATCTTATCTTATCTTATCTTATCTTATCTTATCTTATCTTATCTTATCTTATCTTATCTTATCTTATCTTATCTTATCAAGGTTTTAAGAAATTTACTTCTTTTTTAATACATTTTTATAAACTTTCTAGTTGATATTCATAAATGAATCATACCAGAAAACTGTGGAATGGGAAGACGACATTATAGCAAGTGTATAATTATTGTTGTTATAAAGGAAATAGTTTTACTTGTAAATTATTATATTACATATCAAGTTAAATGGGTTTGTTGAACCGTCACAATTTCAGTGTCTCATGTTCATTTAAAGTCATAACTTGAGTCTAAAAGTCGTCTTCCTATTCCACAGTTTTTGGTTCTCAATGTAGTCTGAAAAAAAATTCTTCGCATGAGTCCTTTTTATTGTGTAGAAATGTAATCGAATTTTATGGAATAAATAATTAGAACGGGTTGGTTTTGGTTTGGTTTTCATTAAATAATTAAAATGATCTATACCGCTTGTTTTAATGTCTTCCTTGTAATAAACCATATCTTTGCTCTTGCTAAATATTCTAATTTATGGATTGTTTCTGAGGGTATCGTGTTCGTATAATTCACTTCAGTGTTTTAAGTACAATGTACTGTATAGGTTTATGCACGCAACAATCAGACTTTAATCACATTCAAAAACTCATTTTTGAATAAAACATTCAGATTAACACTTGTTGGTAACCATGTCTGTTAAAACTTTATAATAATCATGTTATCACTTGTTGGTAATCATGTCTTTTAAAACTTTATAATAATCATGTTATCACTTGTTGGTAACCATGTCAACCATGTCTTGAAACTTTATAAGAATCATGTTATCACTTGTTGGTAACCATGTCTTTTAAAACTTTATAACAATCATGTTATCACTTGTTGGTAACCATGTCTTTTAAAACTTTATAAGAATCATGTTATCAATTGTTGGTAACCATGTCTTTTAAAACTTTATAAGAATTATGTTATCATTTGTGGGTAACCATGTCTTTTAAAACTTTATAAGAATCATGTTATCACTTGTGGGTAACCATGTCTTTTAAAACTTTATAACATAACTTAAAATCGATCGAAAATAAAACACATTATTTGCTTGGTCAGTTGTTCTTTTGAATGGCACATTTAAAAAATCTATTTCAATAAAATTTTCTCTGGAATTTTTTAAATGAAGGAGTTACTTTTGTTCTGAAATGAATTAAGTATTTCTTTAATCTTTATTTATCAATTAATTCAATGTATTTTGCTATACACTTAAAACTAGCCCTCCCCTCTCCTCCTATTGTTTCCAAATCCACCTCTTCAAAAAACCAACAAGCCCCCCCCCCTTTACACTACAAAATGTAACCGTAACTAGAGGAACTGAATAATAAAATCAGTATTTAACAAACCATAGAATATTTTGTGTCACTGGCCCACTAATATCACTAAAACTAAATATTTATACTGATCAAGAAATATTGCAAATTACATTTTACATATTATAAACTCAAAATTGAATTGAAAACCTTAGTTTGAACAATTTATTGTAAAGATGTAGATCAAAGTATAGAGTTGCAGTTATTATTTCAGAGATGACACTAGAACTGTGGGTAAAAATAAAAAATAATAGAATTTTAAAATAAAATTATTGGTGCAAACAATTCATACCCTTCTTTGAAACTTGATGTTGTTTGTTTGTTATAGTCTGGATATAGTCGGTATTTAGTTTGTATGAAAACTATATGTAGTCTGTATGTAGTCCTTTATATATACACTAGGGTTTTAGGGCGCGTCGCGACCATCTTCTATTTAAATTGTGAACCTGTTCTTTTTGTTTACATTTAAAAACAAAGAAGAAAAAAATTTTGCGGATTTTTAAAAAAAAATTCGCGGATTTTTAAGAATTTAAATTTTTTTACAAAATTAAAAACCTTTAAAACACATTTTTTTAAAATTTTTATCATTCATAAACCTTCCCTGGGATAACGCGAGGTGCCACAAAAAATTTGGGCCCGATCGGTTTAGTCGTTTTGACGTTTATTGGATACAAACAGACAAGCCAAATTTATATATAGATATGTAGTATTTTATATAGTTGGTATGAAATTCGTATGTAATCGGTAATTATTCTGAATGTAGTCTGTTTGTAGACTATATGTACTTTATATAGTTGGTAAGTATTTTGTATGTAGTTGGTATGTATTCTGAATGTAGTCTGTTTTTAGACTATATGTACTTTATATAGTTGGTATGTATTTTGTATGTAGTAGGCATGTATTATGAATGTAGTCTGTTTAAAGACTATATGTACTTTATATAGTTGGTATGTATTTTGTATGTAGTTGGCATGTATTCTGAATGTAGTCTGTTTAAAGACTATATGTACTTTATATAGTTGGTATGTATTTTGTATGTAGTTGGTATGTATTCTGAATGTAGCCTGTTTTTAGACTATATGTAGTCTGTTTTTAATATTTTTCTATTCTGTATGTATCGCAAGTGTATATATGTATACAGTGATCGTTTTTAATATTTTTGCATATATTTTCTGTCAGGGTAAAAATTTAGCGTATTTGAAAAAAATGTTTTTCTTTGACTATGCCAAATCAAAAGAAAAACGAACCGACTTAATGCATATTATTAGATCCAAGAATATTATAAAAATATAGATATCTTTGATCAGAAATTGGACTAATCTTTGCTGATATATATGGTTGTTAAACTAATATCAATACGAGTACATACCATACATTGCTATTCTCAAAATGTTTTTAATTTTCTACTTTGGAAAAAATTCTTAAAAATATGTTTTGTTCAGAAATATGTATCTATAGAAAATAAAGTACTTCAAAGAATATGTTTTCTGTTTATAGAAAATAAATTAATTTATGAATATGTTTCCTGTTTTGTTTAGAAATATGTATATATAGAAAATAAAGTAATTATAAAAATATGTTTATAAATATGTATATATAGAAAATAAAGTAATTATAAGAATATGTTTATAAATATGTATATATAGAAAATAAAGTAATTATAAGAATATGTTTATAAATATGTATATATAGAAAATAAAGTAATTATAAAAATATGTTTATAAATATGTATATATAGAAAAATGTGTAACAAAATGTTCAGATTATTATGTCTAGTTAAGGAGAGATTATCCAAAATTTCAGAATATTTCTGACACAAATCATTTTTTGTTAAATTTTACTTGTCCGTTAATAATATACTCCGGCCTAAAAGGTCAGGATAACAACCGTCACGACCTTCCTCTGAAAAAGGGACAGTGCACGTGGATTTAACGGTTCTGTCAATATTCCAGAAATCTGTGACTTTCGATCACAATTTGACCCATTAAACACAATTTTTTTTGTCTTTTTTCTTAAATACTTTTTTGTCGGCATATGTATTTTTAAGGAAAAAGTATAAAATAAAGAAATCCCTAAGGTACAAGATTGTTGAATTATAGACCAAAACACATTTGATTTCAAATATAAGAAACCGAATGCACTTTGGTTAGTCTGGGGTGAGTGAGGGGTGAGTGAGAGGTAGTTCTTGAGATGAGAAGTGCACAATTTCTTTCACTTAGTTTCTAATACAAAACTTAGTTTTTAAGGGAATTAGAAGATTTAATAAGCATCATTTTTTTTTAAAAATACAAAAAAGATTTTATAGCTTCAACTTTATAACACCCCCCCCCCCCCCTCCCATTCCCATTTTTTCCCATATAAAGAAAGGCCCTCCCCATTCCAATTATTTTCTATTTAAAGAAAGCCCCTCCCCCCAGTTTGAGTGTTGTTTAAACTAAAAGTGTGAATGTGAGTTAGGAAGAATAATCAATGAACAATGTTAAATATCTTCAAATATTTATCTTAAATAAGTAGGAACTCGGAATTTATACTATTGAGGAGATTATACTTTAAGTAACTTTTCTAAACTTAAGCTCAAGATAATGCTTTGCTGAAATCCTTAATTCTATATTACCAGATATTAGCAGTTACATTAGAAATAAGGGCGTATACAGAAGGGGGGGGGGGGAGGAATGGTAGTCTATCCCCTGGATAAACTTTTATACACGCAGAATAGTAGTACATTTTTATAATATTATCGAATAATTAAAGTAAAAGAACATAGAAACAGGCAATTTTTTTGAAACTAAGGATATATTGATATTGAAACATGGCAGTATAGTAAAAAAACTCATCCAACCAAAAATTGTATCTCGAAAATGTACGTCCATAATGTTAAAAAAGTTTACTGGCCAAATTATACCTGAGAACCAGAGAAAACTAGTTCATATTTTCAATCGCTTTTCTTTTCCGGAATAATAGCCTTCTCCCCCCCCCCCCGCTACTGCTGCGTTGACCCGAACTGGCACGGATTTCCACTGTCCAAAGACTTGTACCGTGCCGACTATAAGAGGCCGGGTACTAGGACCGGGTTGGACCGAATGCGCTGACCAGCGGAGACTGGTCAGCAGCAGTTGACACTCCGGTCAGAGTAGTGTGACGTCACACAGTGTTTCAGTGATGCCAGGAAGATTGCTCGGGGAGGAGGTGGGGGAAGGAAAATGCAGCTAAATAATCCTGTTTTATATCATTACAAGGTTTATAAACAATCAGCATGACTATCTCCTATCAGAGGGATGTTGCGTCCTCCACCGCAGGGGGATTCACCAGGCTTCTCTTCAAGTGGAAGGAAGGGTTCATCATAATTAGTGATTCCTTTTTTCTATTCTGGTTTATTTTATATAATTTTAACTTAGAATTATTTTTATATTCTAAAGAAGAAAAGCCAAGCATCCCTTTTCCCTTTTAGCTTCGACTCTGTAGCATTGAATTATCAAGTAAATAAGATGATCGAACAATTTAGGGTAGCAAACAATAGAAATAAAAAATAACATTTCAAAAACCACAAGCCCTAAGAAATTTTAAACTTTTACTTTATACTAAAAAATAAAAGTTACAGTTTTTGTTTGTCAATATAAATTAACGCCAGTTTATTTCATTCTTTTAAAATCCTTTTAGTTATCATAAATGATATTTTTTGCAAAACTAGCTGAATTTCCATGCGTTGCCCGTGGAGTTTTAAAAAGAATTTGGATTTTGAAACAAAACAAAAATATTTTGAATTAAAGAAAAATATAATTTTTTGGTCTATATTGCTTTTTAAATGTTTGGCACAACAGTATTTACTTATTTTGATGTTCTCTCCAGGGTTCACTATATAAACTAATATGTCGTGAACTGCTTCTTTTCTTAATCGTTTATATTCTCCTTGGAGTTATCTACAGACAGCTCATGTCCCCGGCACAGAAAGAGTAAGTTTTTACTATCCTAAAATTATCCAATAACTGAACTGAACTGAGTTTTCGTCACAAACTCTGATTTTTAATCCTTATTTCTTTGCAACTCAATGTCATAATTCTTTGATATTTAAACTATGAATTCCGTTTAATCAAATAATCTAAGTTTAAAATATCAAAGCTTTAACAGGTTATCAGGTTGCAAAGATATAGGGATTAGAAAATTTGAGCTTGTGTTAATGACTCAGTTTCTTTATTCATTGTTTTGAATGCGAAAAAGAAAGCCTTTCAGATAAATCAGCAATGATATGTTAAGATAATTATTAGAAAGATGAGTTCGAAGCGTCCTTGTAATCCTAGTATTGTAAAATACTTTAATTAAAAACTCGTAGAGCTTATTAGATTTTTTCGTAGATTTTTAGGGATGGAATTTTTTTATTACTAAATCTTAACAATAACGATGAAATATAGGGAGTTCCCAAAAAAATTGCGAAATCGTCCTTAATTTGTGTGGCTCTATTTGTAAACCTTATAATAATTAAGTTTCATTTGACCAATTTAATCCACATAGAGTTGATTCAGATAATATCATGAATCTTTTAGCTTGTTCATATTTAAGAAAAATTAAAACTGCTCTTCTTATTTTAAAGACTCAACATAAAAACTTTTCTGTATCAAATTTTTTCTCCAAATTTTTTCATTTGAGTCTAGTCATTTGAGTCATCTATATCTATATATACTTTGCTTGTATGTCTACACAATTAAAATAGAAGATGGGCGCAAAACGCCTTAAAAGCCTAGTATCTATATATATACTTTGCTTGTCTGTTTCTTTGTTTGAATCCAATAAACGTAAAAACGGCTGAACCGATCGGGCCCAAATTTTGTGTGGGATCTCGCATGACCCCAGGGAAGGTTTATGGATGCTCAGAATTACAAAAAGTTGTATCTAAAATTGCTTCAGATTTTTGTGAAATTTAAAAAATGTGCGAAAAAATATTTGAAAATCCGACATAATTTTACTGTTATTGTTTTATACTGTACAAAGAGACGATGCTCACAGATAAAGCCACAATTGAAGATTAAAATATTGTTAAAAAATGTAATCAAAGATAACTTTTTCCCAACATTTTTCTGAAGCTGTCTGTTCTTAAAAGTCAAGACGTTTTAGAAAATAAGGCGCTTTGAATAAAAACCCACAGTGAAAATTTTATATGTATTTTTATAATTAACGTAATAATGTCTGGTTAGGTTTAAATGTAGAACTTAATTAAAAGACAATGAATGAAAAAACCAAGCTTGGTTTCTAGAAAATTATTTTAAACTTATTTTTCGTTGAAGAAACCAAATGAAATATAAAACAAACTAAATTGTACGCCTGGGATGAAAACTATCTTTTATTATGTTTAAAAGTTAAACATTCGAGGTCAAAACGACATTAGGTTGCAATTTGTTCCTAGCTGTGTTTATAACACGATCCGTTAGTTCTACTCGATCTACCCTCTGATGGTTTAATTCAAGTCTCCATCATTCTCTTTTAATTACTAATCCTTTAATCCTTAAAACGGATATAGAGTTCAGTCGTTGCTGCTAAGCGCTATCCCAACCAAAAGTTTTGATCTTTAAACAACTTTTCTTCTGTTCTAGGTTGTTCGAAAGTGTTGTTAAATATTTCGACGCGTTCTTGAACCTGATCCCTCTCTCCTTCGTCCTGGGGTTCTATGTGTCCTATGTAGCCTCGAGATGGTGGCAGCAGTTTCTAGCGATCCCTTGGCCGGACAAGTAGGCTTATAATCATATATTTTAAAAGAACTAATACTCGCCTCAAACTCTAATTTTATAATCCCTATATCAACTTAAACTAATGTTGGAAACCTTTTACATGTCAAACTTTGACAATTTGATTAAGCAGAATTCCTAGTATGAAATGTAAGGTTTACAAGATCAGGTTTCAGAGATATTATGATTAAAAAATTAAAGTAATAGAAGAGGGATCGTTCATCTTAATTTCCCGACTGCTCGCGTTGAAATAATGATATTTTTATCATTGATGGTCTTTATTGTGAGCTTTGTAGACAAACATTTAGTGTCAACGAGATAGAAATGTAAAAGTTCAAAACTAATAAACAGAAATTAGTTACTTAATCTAAGAGTTTGCAGTTAAAAAAGAATAATTGATTTATTTTTTTAGAAATATTTATGTGTTAACCTAGCGTGGTTTAACTTAGTTTAGTTTTTTCTAACATTTCTCTGCAGGCTGTTCCATTCGATAGCCTGCTATGTCGAAGGGTTCGATGAGGAGTCTCGAATGTTGAGAAGATCTCTCATGAGATATATGAACCTTGCTCTCATTCTAGTTCTCAGGTATAAGACCAGAACCCTTACCTAGTCTTGCGAAAGACCCTAGTCCGAAACCAAACCTAGGATCCTGAATCAAAATTAAGTCCTGTATCAGAAACTAATCCTGAATCAGAGCCCAATCCTGAATCAGAACCTAGTCCTGAACCAGAACCTAGTCCTGAACCAGAACCTAGTCCTGAACCAGAACCTAGTCCTGAACCAGAACCTAGTCCTGAACCAGAACCTAGTCCTGAACCAGAACCTAGTCCTGAACCAGATCCTAATCCTGAACCAGAACCTAGTTCTGCCAGAACCTAGTCCTGAACCAGAACCTAGTCCTGAAGCAGAACCTAGTCCTTAACCAGAACCTAGTCCTGAACCAGAACCTAGTCCTGAACCAGATCCTAATCCTGAACCAGAACCTAGTTCTGAACCAGATCCTAGTACTGAACCAGATCCTAGTCCTGAACCAGATTCTATTTCCGAACCACACCTTTTTATGTCGTAAATTTTGTAAAAAAGCCATTCTACCCTTAAAGCATCTTAACGCTAATCACAAACTCTAATTTTCTAATCCCTATTTTTTGGAAACCTGATGTTGTAAACCTTTGATATTTCAAACTTAGACTTAATGATCCAACAGAATTCATAGTTTAAAATATCATGGTTACATAGATATCAGGATTAGAAATTAGAATATGAGAAAAGTGATCAGTACCTTTAGATCGACCCTTCTTATACATTTCATTTTCCTTTTCTATTTTATTAAACCCTACTATTAGCTTTGAACCAACTGAGTTCAATATGCACCGATATCTGTTTCATTTATTGAACTAGATAAAGTCAATATTGTTTCAGTCCGGTTTCTCAACTATATATATTAGTTTATATTCACATAGTGTATTAACATAGAAACTAGATTTAGATTTAGAAATATTTTACAGGATTAAAAAATAAGGATTAACATTTAAAAAGGACATATAGCTTTTTGTCGGTCAATGCTCTAGCTTATTTGTTCTATTTTAGGGAGTAATAATATAAATAACTAAAATTAATTTTAAAATGACTGTAATTACGTAATGGTATCTTTAGTTTTCAATTACAAAATTTCCCTATGGAAGGAATTGAGAATTTGCAGCCTGATGGTGCTAACCTTTGATATTTTAAACTTATTTGATTATTGGATCTAACAGAACTCATAGTTTGAAATATCTAAGGTCTACGACATTGGGTTGCAAAAATATAGGGATTTTGTGGTAGAGACTCAATTCATTTGCTATTGAAGATACCTGACATACTTGTTATCATTTATACAAGCTCAACATAATACTTTTAATTTGTTTTATTATTATTGTTTTAGATCCATATCTTCAGCTGTAAAGCAGAGATTTCCAACCCTTGATCATGTAGTTGAAGCAGGTAGTTTGCATTCTCTTTCTTTCCCTTCCCTTCCCTTGATCATTTAGTTGAAGCAGGTAGTTTGCATTCTCCTTCTTTCCTTCCCTTCCCTTGATCATGTAGTTGAAGCAGGTAGTTTGCATTCTCTTTCTTTCCCTTCCCTTCCCTTGATCATGTAGTTGAAGCAGGTAGTTTTCATTCTCCTTCTTTCCTTCCCTTCCCTTGATCATGTAGTTGAAGCAGGTAGTTTTCATTCTCCTTCTTTCCTTCCCTTCCCTTGATCATGTAGTTGAAGCAGGTATTTTTCATTCTTCTTCTTTCCTTCCCTTCCCTTGATCATGTAGTTGAAGCATGTAGTTTTCATTCTCCTTCTTTCCCTTCCCTGCCTTACGTTGCCCTACCCTATTTCTTTGCTTGGAGGGTCACGTTTTATACAGTTCTTCTATGTTCCCCTCTGCGGTTCTTGAAAACAATGATACTCTGTCTTATTGTTTACACATAAGCAGTTCTCCAGAATAAATGTAAACAAAAAATATTTGGTTTGGATCACATATTTGCAGACTTGAATTGTTAAATATTATGAAGGGAATTGAAATTGTATTTGGGTTGGGTTGAGATTTATTGATAACTTCTCTCATACCAAATATCTCCAGAATTGACGTATAAATCAAAATAAGATATAAAACCTGGATATAAACATCTACTGAGAAATCTCCGAAAAACCTTTCATAAAATGCCGCTTTCAATACCCGAACGTTGCATCAATATACAAATACAATTTCAATGCTCGAGCAAAGTTTATATTTTAGAGTAGAAATATACATATTACATATGTGTTACTCGACTCACTCAGGCATTCTTATTGCAATATTGCGTGATTTTACTTTGTGAGAGGCGCAACTTTGAAAACGCAGTCCCAATTTTTCAGTTTTCAAAAAAGTTTTTTTAGGTTTTATGACGAAGACCGAAATGGAATTTTTCTCCGCAGTTCCCGCAAATGAGTTTAACACCTACTGGGTTCCCTGCACCTGGTTTATATACAGACTACAAGAGGCAACTAAGAAGGGGAAACTACTGAACCAGTATTCCCTAGAGAACATCATGAGGGTAGGTTAGAATCTCCACAGAAGGGACTGATTCATTTGATGCACGGTCCCGGTTTACCTAATAGTCCGTATGTGTACTGTACTGCTTGCTCTAGCTGGTTCAAGGTCGGCCCGAAGTTTACGGGAACAGGGTTACTTTAACTTGTTTCTTATTTAGTCAAATCGTTAAGAATACATTGCTGTACTCACTAAAGCTAAAGCAGGAAACCAATTTTTTAACCTTGAAATCGTCATTCGAGCTTTTCAGGTCGTCATTACAGTCTCAATTTTAGTGAGTTGCCCTGTGTAGATCAACTAAAGAAAAGCAAATTTGGACACTAGACTATTCTTTGATGAGATTATTGTGATTGGGAAAAATGTCTTCTTGAATTTAATATTTCAACTTTTTCCTTTGATTAACAAATGATAAGTTCATGATTATTTAATTTTATGAAAGTAGAAAAGATTTAATGGGTGCTAATTAAAAATATTTAATAATCATATATAACAGTCTATTTGTAAATTATAAAAGAAGAAAGCCTAACATCACGTAATCTTATTCCACCGAACATTTATTACATTTTTATATTTTTGTTGAACTCGTTTTTTATGTTTTGCTTCTAGGACGATGCTTCTGAAATTAAAATTTATAGAGCACAAATTCCAAAGAACTGACATTCTGTTCAAAATACGGATCTAAATTTAAAGTTATTTTACTATTCAAATGTAATTATTATTGGGTGATTCTGCAATACTGGGATTTCTTTGTTAAAGCCTTAAGACACTGTTAATACCTGGGTTAAGAGTAGAATATATTGAGAACTCTGTTAAATACTGCTTCAACAGGATACAGACAAGGACACATTCCATTCTCAACTATTCTTAACATTCACTTCAACTTCACTATAGTCAACTTCAATAAAAATGGAGGATCAAGCTGAAAGAAAATGAAGGAAAAAAGATAAACTGAGTCCAAATTTAATGAGCTGCGGCTTAAATCTGCCAAAAATCGGTTTCAATTGAGCGCCGACTTAAATCTTGCAAAATTGAATACAATTTTAAGTGGAACCAACCACATTTGAGCCGCGGCTCAAATCTTTATCTAGCTTGTGCAAGATTGATTTCAAAAAGTACAAAATATTGATAGGTAAACCCCGTTCACCCACTTCTTAACCTATTTATTCTTTTTTGAGAGTTAAATGCAATCGAGAAGCAGATTCATTTTTCTCAAATATTCCACAAAACTTCAAACAATTACCCAAAACTTACATAAAAATTTTGGCAATAGTTTGATTTTTGGAAAGTTTAAGTGGAGACAATTAGCAACTGTCAAAAATAAATTTAAAATGTCAATAAAAAACAATAAATCAAAGAAAATGTGAAGTGTTCTGTAGACCAGAACAAAAAAATGAAATTTCTTGACACTTATTTCTAAAAAAATTCAAAATTCAAATTTGTACAAATCATCGTTTCTTCAAATTATGACAGTCTGGTAACATAGGTATTTTGAATTTAGTTACTCTAACTTAATTACTTTTAGGAGCTATATTACTATTCTAGGAGTTTATTAACTCACTAGTTCTCTAGCTATATTACTATTCTAGGAGTTTATTAACTCACTTAGTTCTCTAGCTATATTACTATTCTAGGAGTTTATTAACTCACTAGTTCTCTAGCTATATTACTATTCTAGGAGTTTATTAACTCACTAGTTCTTAACTATATAACTATTCTAGGAGTTTATTAACTCACGAGTTCTCTATCTATATTACTATTCTAGGAGTTTTTTAACTCACTAGTTCTCTAACTAAATTACTTTTAGGAGTTTGTTAACTCACTAGGTCTCTAGTTATATTACTATTCTAGGAGTTTATTAACTCACTAGTTCTCTAGCTATATTACTATTCTAGGAGTTTATTAACTCACTAGTTCTCCAGCTATATTACTATTCTAGGAGATTATTAACTCACTAGTTCTTTAACTATATTACTATTCTAGGAGTTTTGTGAGTTCCGAGCTAAATGTGGTTTACTCTGGTGTTATGATTGGGTTTCTATTCCTATGGTTTATACTCAGGTTAACATTTTAAATTGATCCAACAAATAATTAGAGACTTTAAGATAATACCTCCTTCCCCACTTATCCCAACTTGAATCTAAGTTTAATGAATGGATAAATGTAGATTTATAATCTTGACAAAGTTAATTTATCAAACCTATGTTTTGTTTAAGTTTTCCAAATGTTTTCTAGACCTTGAGTCTGAGTGTTTCTTTTTATTTCAATGTCAGAAGAACTTTCTTACTTTTTGCTAAATATTTTCTCAGATTTCCTACGATTCAGCTTTTTCTCTAGTTCCTGATTATACATTCTCTACTTCCTTATCCTGTATTTTCTAGTTCCTTATCATTTATCATCCTGCATTCTCTAGTTCTTTATTCTGTATTCTCCTGTTCCTAATTCTGTATTCTCTAGTTCCTTATCCTGTATTCTATAATTACATATTCTGTATTCTCTAGTTCATTATCTTGTATTCTCTAGTTCTTTATCCCGTATTCTCTATAGTTCCTTATCCTATATTCTCTATTTCTTTATCCTGTATTCTCTATTTCTTTATCCTGTATTCTGTATTTCTTTATCCTGTATTCTCTAGTTCCTTATGCTGTATTCTCTATATAGTTCCTTATCCTATATTCTCTAGTTCCTTCTCCTGTATTCTCTATAGTTCCTTATCCTATATTCTCTGGTTCCTTATCCTGTATTCTCTTTTTCTTTATCCTGTATTCTCTTTTTCTTTATCCTGTATTCTCTATTTCTTTATCCTGCATTCTCTATTTCTTTATCCTGTATTCTCTTTTTCTTTATCCTGTATTCTCTATTTCTTTATCCTGTATTTTCTAGTTCCATATCTTGTATTCACTATTTCTTTATCCTGTATTCTCTAGTTCCATATCCTGTATTGTCTAGTTCCATATCTTGTATTCTCTAGTTCCTTATCCTGTATTCTATAGTTCCATATCCTGTATTCTCTAGTTCCATATCCTGTATTCTGTAGTTCCATATCCTGTATTCTGTAGTTCCTTCTCCTGTATTCTCTAGTTCCATATCTTGTATTCTCTAGTTCCAATTCCTGTATTTTCTAGTTCCATATCTTGTATTCTCTATAATTTCTTTATCATGTATTCTCTATTTCTTTATCCTGCATTCTCTATTTCTTTATCCTGTATTCTGTATTTCTTTATCCTGTATTCTCTAGTTCCATATCCTGTATTCTCTATTTCTTTATCCTGTATTCTCTAGTTCCATATCCTGTATTCTCTAGTTCTCTATCCTGTATTCTGTAGTTCCATATCCCTGTATTCTCTAGTTCCATATCCTGTATTCTCTATAGTTCCATATCCTGTATTCACTAGTTCTTTATCCTGTATTCTCTAGTTCCATATCCTGTATTCTCTAGTTCCATATCCTGTATTCTCTAGTTCCATATCTTGTATTCTCTAGTTCCATATCCTGTATTCTCTAGTTCTGAATTAGAAAGTTCTATAAATACTAGTTGCTTGAACTTTCTCTCTTTTTATTTTTAGCTATTTTAAATCACAAAAGACATTCTAGCTCTTTAACCTTTAATAGGATATAAACTAAATTCAATTAAAATTGAATAAGGTTCACTATAACATTTTATGATAGTCTTTAAGAAATATAAACATTATTGTAATTAGATTTATTGATGGTTCAGAGCTGAAAACTTTAGAATGGTGGATATCGAGATTAATGCTTCGATCTCCACTTTTTCTTAATCTCCAGATTAAATAATGCTTGTTCTCCTCTTGTTATTAATCTCCAGATTAATTAAGCGATTGGGATTAGATTATATTAAATTATTTAATTAAGGTTGTAACATTGGCAACCTACGTGTTCTTTATCTTTACCATCATTGGTCGGCAGAAGATTGACGGGTTTAGTGTACACAAGGCAATGAGAAGTGGTAGGATCCCTCTAGACATTGATCTTTATATTCCCATATTCACAGTTCTTCAGTTCTTCTTCTACATGGGTCTCCTCAAGGTTGCTGAACAGCTGATTAATCCGTTCGGAGACGATGACGAGGATTTTGAACTTAATTGGCTGATCGACAGACACGTCAAGGTAAACTGGTTTATACTATACAGACACGTCAAGGTAAACCGGTTAATACTATACAGACAGGTTAAGGTAACCCGGTGTATACTATACAGACAGGTTAAGGTAAACCGGTTTATACTATACAGACGATTTAAGGTAAACCGGTTTATACTATACAGACACGTCAAGGTAAACCGGTTTATACTATACAGACAGGTTAAGGTAAATCGGTTTACACTATACAGACACGTCAAGGTAAACTGGTTTATACTATACAGACAGGTTAAGGTAAACTGGTTTATGCTATACAGACAGGTTAAGGTAAACCGGTTTATACTATACAGACACGTCAAGGTAAACTGGTTTATACTATACAGACAGGTTAAGGTAAACTGGTTTATACTATACAGACACGTCAAGGTAAACCGGTTTATACTATACAGACAGGTTAAGGTAAACCGGTTTATACTATACAGACAGGTTAAGGTAAACCGGTTTATAATATACAGACACGTCAAAGTAAACCGGTTTATACAATACAGACAGGTTAAGGTAAACTGGTTTATACTATACAGACAGGTTAAGATGTACTGGTTTTATACACTTTACAGCGATTTTAAAATCTGAAAATCATTCATAGTATTTGATTCTAAAATAAATTATCAAAAATCTATTTACAAATAAAGAAAACATTGTAATTTACGATAAAAATTGACGAAATGATTTTCTTCTTCATCGCAGGTCTACGAAAAAAAAAATTCAGTATCTTAAAATAGCCAAGAGTAGATCAAAATCAGCATGATGACTTAAAAAGTTGCCGAAAAAAATGTCCGAGTCACGACATGTATCGTTTTATGTGATACAAGATCTGACACACATCAAGGTTTAAGTGTGAATGGACAAAAATAGTTAAAATTGTTTAATAGGCACGGCAAGCATATACATGATGCTGTTAAGCATAAATAATTATCAGTGTATAATACCATGAAGAAATTGAAAAAACTGAAGATAAATATGGATGACAAGCATAACTATATCTGTATGAAGAACAGTTCAGTTCTGTCTTTTTTGGATCGTTTTTTCCATACATTTTCTTTCAAGGATCAAAACTTGGCATAGTGTAAGAAAAGTAAATATTTCTAAAAATAAATTTTATTCTACACATTTGCTCTTATTCGTTGTAACGATCGTTTTCGGATCGTTTTGGGTCGTTTTACTTTTTCAATTTTTTTAGGATAAAGATAATGCAAAGTTTTTTAAAAGCAAACTTCAACATTATTTTTTTCTAAAAGCGACCCACATTACCATAAACAACACTAGATGCAAGAGATTTCAAGAGACTCTAAGATCTACAATCTTTATTCTTTATTTCAAAATTGCAGACTTGGTAGGTTTGTGTTTTCTTACATCATGCACTTAACAGGGGTAATCTGATCAAACATATTAATATCAATATATTTGAAAAGTTAGCAAACAGAGATGAAGCAATCTTATCGAGAATACAATTATGTCATGTGATAAATAACTCACATTCTTGTGGAGAAACTTTAAAGTAAAAAAACCTGGCATGTTAAATAACTGACCTCAATATGATGCCATCCTATCCCTACCCGGCAGTATGGTTAAAGGGAGTGACCGGCTATGTAAGGTAGTTGAACTGAGTATGCAGTGTTGTAGAAAACTTCTTTCGGATTCATTTGAGACATATTAAACTTTTTAAAGATCTGTAAATCCTTAGTTTGAGCGCAAATTCGACGTGTAAAACTCCTACTTTGGGGGGTGGACGTTTTCAGAATTAGTTTTTTTTATTATTAAATAACGACAACGAAAAACAAAGTAAAAATTATACAGTAATCTAATTAGATGGTTAGGAACATATTTCTCAAAAGAAATTTGTCAATAAATCAATGCTAAAATCGATTATATCGTTTTCATTATTATATTGAATTTCTTTTTTTCTTAGTATTTCTTCGCAGATTTCTTCAAATTCTTCAAATGTCGTCTTTTCAATAATAATTCTAGAAAATCTGCGAAGATCTTTGTGAATAATGAGGAACCAGAATAATGAGAAAATAGAAACTAATAATTGAACAAGAATACTTATTTTCGATAATAAGATTAATTTTTATTTTCTCAACATGTTCCTATACATGACGTTTGTAGTTTATTGTAGAACTTTTTTATATTTTATGTCGTCGGTATTTAATAATTTAAAAAAACTAATTCTGAAAACGTATCCACTCCACTCCCTTTAAATGCAAGATTCTCTTGAAATCTAAATGATTTGTCTTGAAAAACTGCTAAGAAAGGCAAACTTGAATCATGACATTTCAGCCAAAAGAAAGCGTCTGAATGTTTAAACTTTTATATCATTATGATCATTGATAAAATGTTTTAAGTTTAGGGAAATGTTCGAATAGAATAAAATAGCATGCTTGAAACTTAAGTACAAAATTTATAAATTTCGGCAGCAACAACTGTCAAGGGAGTAAGCATTGTTTAATGTTTAATGAACAGTTTACAAAAATATTATAATATTTTTGTAAACTGTTTTCTTTGAACCATTATAGATTTGTACATCAATCTCTGTTTATCTTTGATTGTGTTGATCATACTAAAAAAATTAAAAAAGTATCCTCATAAAACGCTACCTCATTATTCATAAAACGCTACATACAGGAACTTTCAAATAAAACGCTCTTTAAAAGCTTTACTTGATGATAAAAACGCATCTTTTGATGTTAAAATCTGTTTATAATGAGATTGTTTAATTGTGCAGTGCGAGAACAACAGTATGTACTCCATTTAAAAACACCAATACTAAAAAGAAATAATTAGATTTTTTTCTAAAATGTTTTTGGTAGCTTTTATATTGGTAGCATTTTATACGAGAACGTTTAATGTGGTTTTTGAGTGTAGCGTTTTTTACATTAAGGCCCATAAAACTGTGGAATAAAAAGACGCCCATTAGATTCTAGTTATGATTTTAGATATTCCAATGAACATAAAACACAGGAATTGTGCAGTGTACTACAGTGTACAGCATATAGTATACACTGACCCTTTTTATTTTTTAAGTTGATGTTTTGGTTGATTTATAGGTTAATTTACTGGTTGATTTATAGGTTGATTTATTGGTTGATTTATAGGTTAAGTTACTGGTTGATTTATAGGTTGATTTAAAGGTTGATTTATTGGTTGATTTAAGATTGTGTTTAATTAAGATATTATTCAGGCTTCATTCCTCGGTTGTGATATCCTGATGAACCCGGAGAGGATTCCTCCCATGGTTAAAGATTTCTACTGGGATAAACAGGTTTATTTCTTTTTCATCCTTTTCTTTATCCTATTAGATCCTGTAACTTGTGCGTCCTCAATAGTGCGTCCTTAATAGTCCGTCCACAATATTGCCTCCACAGTAGTGCTTCCTATAAAGTGCGTCCTCAATAGTGCGTTCTCAATAGTGTGTCCTCAATAGTGTGTCCTAAAAGCGCGTTCCGTCCCAATGTGTCCTTAATATCGACAGTGCGTCCTCGATATAGTGCGTTCGCAATAATGCGTCCTGACTGTGTTCAACGTCCTTGCTATTAGTGCATCCTCATTAGTGTTACATAGTCCGAATAAGTGCATTCTCTTTTGCAACAGTCGAGAATGTTGATTAAATGTTTCCAGCTGATATGAAGGATATGAAGGATATGAAGGATATGAAGGATATGAAGGATATGACGGATATGAAGGATATGAAGGATATGAAGGATATGATGGATATGAAGGATATGAAGGATATGACGGATATTAAGGATATGGAGGATATGAAGGATATGACGAATATGAAGGATATGAAGGATATGAAGGATATGAAGGATATGAAGGATATGAAGGATTTGAAGGATATGAAGGATATGAAGGATATGAAGGATATGAAGGATATGAAGGATATGAAGGATATGAAGGATATGAAGGATATGACGGATATGAAGGATATGAAGGATATGAAGGATATGAAGAATATGAAGGATATCTATGAAGAAAGTTAGTCTTCTATAGTCCTAGAAAATAAACAGAAATGTAAAAGAAAAAATTTACTTCAATGGATCGTGTCCAAGTAACTATGAATTAAGAAAAGTTGTCTTTTCTACTTTTTATTTAAACGCATCTACCTATTTCAAAAATGTTTAAAATATTAAACACAAAAAAAAATATGTTTAAGTGGTCAATAAGTGATCGAAAGTGACAACTTTTACTGGAACAATAATTGTGGTATTTATACCGTGTACACTGTACACTGTAGCGTACAACACAATTGCAAGGAAAGGTCGGGTCGAGATGCTTTTTTCTTTTAAGTTTCTCAAAGCTGACATTTTGATATTCGAAAAGCACTTGCCCCCCACCCCCCCTAGTCACTACTGCAGAATATTTTTGCAAAATTTTCTTGTTTTTGTTTCAGCGTAAAATATTTGTATTTTGTTCAGGACTGCCCTATACCCTACACTGAAGCTTCTATGCACTGTAAGAAGAAAACGTACCGTGGATCAGCTGATGATATGAAGTAAGCGCTTGAAAAAACTTAACAATTCAGGTTTACAACAGTACACAGTACACCTTGCCAAGTTTTTCAAACAGCTGACCACGTGACTTTAAAAAACAGGACAAGAAATAAAACACTCCACTGGGAAATCCAACTTCTCTCCTTGTTGCAGCACTGATCTACAGGGTGCCCCAATAAACAGACGAATTGATGAATTCAGCAGTATTCTAACTAAAGGAAACGCAATGATTGGGATTTTAAAAATGTGGCCGGTCAGTTTTGAAAACTCAAAAATGACGAACAAATTCATCAATTAAAACAATTATTGTCTAAATTTCTGATTTGTTTTTCAACGTTTTAGATAAAATGAAGATTTATCACATTTTGAAAAACTTATTTAACGTAAAATCTTTTTTTTTGATGAACGATTTTTGTCCTTTTTGATACAACAAATTCCGATGTGAAAGTCTTAATTCTCATGTATGTAGTGACACCCTGTATTAATTATTACATGCCTTTCTTACACTCAGCTCAGTGTTAATTCTAATTCAGAGATTAAAAAGATCAGCAGCCTTTAGAGCAGATAGTATTACTCTTTTGCAAGTTTTTACTAGAAAGTATACACTGAATTCTATCTATCTATCTATCTATCTATCTATCTATCTATCTATCTAGAGTACCTGAAGATAAATGTCATATGGTCCTGCCTGAGATAGAGGAGGAGGAGGAGGATGAAGGACAGAAACTATCTCTCACCAGTCTTCTGCTTGGTAGGATACAGTTTAACCCAAAACTTCGGAGAAATCGAAAGAGTTTATTAACTGTCGTCTTGACAATTTTTCAATTTTTTATTATACCTGATTTGCCATAGATGTAAAAATAAATAAATAGCCATGAAATATGCGGGAACAGTTTAAAAAAAGCTTAATATAATTATTTTATTTTATTAATTGTTTATTACCTCTATTTTACCTGAGAACTGAAACTTTTCTAATTAAGGGCAAATTGGGGCAAATTGGGGCAAATTGGGTATCTACTATCTTCTTAGGTGCAAAATTTATATTCATAAATCGTTTTTCAATAAAGTTTTAAAATAAAACCTGGAATTTACCTCAGTTTTTTCACATTCAATTTCCATGTTTATAAATTCTGTACATTATAATACAATATATATATATATAATAAAACTATATTATATATATATTGTAAAACTGTCACGCCACGCAATTTTTTACATATTAAAAAAGTGTAAAATAAAATAAATGTTCTATTTATTCCATTAATTACGTGATAATTAATTTATTGTTGGTATGTCGTATTTCGAATAAAATAATTCAAAAAGAAAACCTCAGTATCAGAAAAAGCATATTTTTACCAAATCTGGGAAAGTTCTGAAAGCAAGTTTATTCTGTCTAGAAGCAAAAAATGAAAACTACAACATTTTGATTTACGACCATTTGGGCAGGACAAAATCACAAAATTTCTACATCTACTGCACTCTACATAGTGCCTTGTACAATCCTATTCAAACCCATTTTGTTTTAGAATCCTCCAACATCGTTGCAAAGATTGGTCTGGGAGGATTGGTCGGAGCTCCTTCTCAGGGTTCACTAGCTCACAGTAAGTTTATTGGTTGTAGGAGTAAACTTCTCCCTAGATACCTATACTTATATTATATCCTATAGTATTAGAACTAATATTCCCTCCTTCCAGCACATAACACATAGAAACAACAAAACATTTAGGCTTAGTCTGCATTTAAGTGGGTTCCTTGTATTCATAGTAGCAATAGAGAGACGTTAAACCTCGTCAAAGAAAGCTAATCATTTGTATGTAGAGCATATGAGTATCTGTGTATCTGTGTATCTGTGTATCTGTGTATCTGTGTATCAGATTTATCGGAGTATCTGAGTATCTGAGTATCAGAGTATCAGAGTATCAGAGTATCAGAGTATCAGAGTATCTGAGTATCAGAGTATCAGAGTATCTATTTGAGTATCAGAGTATCAGAGTATCTATTTGAGTAACAGAGTATCTGAGTATCAGAGTATCAGAGTATCAGAGTATCAGAGTATCAGAGTATCNTATTCCATCCTTACTCCGATCCAGTATAACATCCTTACTCCGGTATACCATTCTTACTCCAGTATACCATCCTTACTCCAGTTACTCTAGTATTCCATCCTTACTCCGATCCAGTATAACATCCTTACTCCGGTATACCATTCTTACTCCAGTATACCATCCTTACTCCAGTTACTCTAGTATTCCATCCTTACTCCGATCCAGTATAACATCCTTACTCCGGTATACCATTCTTACTCCAGTATACCATCCTTACTCCAGTTACTCTAGTATTCCATCCTTACTCCGATCCAGTATAACATCCTTACTCCGGTATACCATTCTTACTCCAGTATACCATCCTTACTCCAGTTACTCTAGTATTCCATCCTTACTCCGATCCAGTATAACATCCTTACTCCGGTATACCATTCTTACTCCAGTATACCATCCTTACTCCAGTTACTCTAGTATTCCATCCTTACTCCGATCCAGTATAACATCCTTACTCCGGTATACCATTCTTACTCCAGTATACCATCCTTACTCCAGTTACTCTAGTATTCCATCCTTCCTCCGATCCAGTATAACATCCTTACTCCGGTATGTTACAAACTTTACTTCATGAACACATGTTCCATGTTAACCTGTTCCCATGTTAGCTTGTTCCTATCCTGGTCCAATGTTGATTCTCTAGAGGAAAGCTTAAAAATGATAAGATTTAGCAATGTCACAATTAGATGCACTCTTTTTGTTTTCTTAAGAAAGAATCTGTTTGCACTTTCAATTTTTCTCTTAATTAAACCTGCAGACCTGCGTATTCATGTATTTATGTAAGATACTACTGGAGCATAGTATATATGGTTATTAGATAATTTCAGGGATATACTGAGTACAGGACGGGTATCAGAGAGCGAGGATGATGAAGAAGAGAGAAGAGGATCCATTCCATTCCTTTACAACCGGAGAGGATCTAAGCTCCAGGATATAATCAAATATAATCAGGTTGGAATATGTGGTAGTTTTCAAACAACATTTCATATATTTTTTGTTGTTGCCAAGTTTAATATGAGAGCCATGTTTTTATTTGAAGGAGAAGAAGAAAAAGAATAAGAGGTATAAAGATAAAGAAGGTTTTGTCTGGAGAAGAATGTTACCTAATGATGAGTTTCCAGTATCTCGAACTCCTCAACCCCATCTACCGGACTCTTCAAGAACCATCCTTCCTTCTTCCTCTCCACAGATCAACTCCGAAGCCAGATACAAACCTCAGGTTAAATAATTAATATATAATAAAGTTTACCGGGTGAAAATAAGGATAACGAAATTCCTTCCGGTATTCTTTGATAATTGATGATTTCTATAAGATTATTTGCTTACACGGAAGATGAAAGGGACTGTGGACTTATTTTCAAGTGACCCTCCATCTATTCAGATGGAAAACGACGATATCCTCCTCATTGTTGCTCATATATAGGCTCAATGGGTACCGTTCTGAATCGGGCATGAACTCTTTAAATGGGAGCTCACTTGAAACTATATCTACAGTCACTTTAGGAAAATGTTTAGCCAATCTTTCTCCTTGTCTAGATGAATAAGATGTCCAGCATTGACGTGGAGAATCTAGATTCTCTTGAACTTCCTGTCAATGATCACCGGACCCGGCCTCGGGACGGATCTCTTCCTCCGGAGTCTGCTGTAATCAGGTACCAACAGGAGCCTGAAACTTGTTCTCTTCGTTCTCTTCATTCGGAAAACTCTTTTAAAACCTGTTCCAGTGAGCCGCAACTGAACCTGGTTCCACGACAGGTCTCAGACAATTACAGTGCACCTAACGAGCGGAGCATGCAGGAGAGAATCGCTAACGTGCGGGCCTTCAAGAACCAGTTTAACGTCCTCAACTCTGTGAATACTCTCAGTCCAGTCTCGCCAAACCAAACCAAATCTCAGAATAAATCGTCGAGATAATCAAAACTCTTTTTGAAAAGTGAAAACGAAAAAATCCGCAAAACGAACAGTTTTTTATATATTTAGAACTTGTCATAATTTTAAGTTACTGTTATACGACTTTAGATAATTTATTTATCGTCCTAATGTACCAAATGTTATAAAAGTTTTTTTCTCTTTTATAACTTTATTATGAAAATACACGCTGCTACTTGTTCTTACTGATCAATCAAATAAAGATAAACCAGAGAGCTGAAACCAAGAAGGAAAGTGTAGAAGAAAATAGAAGTTTAAAGAATTTTTCGTTCTTGATGTTTGGTAAACCTATCAGGTTAAAATCTTAAGTGCAGGGAAAGGAAAATATTTTGATTGTGGATGCATAAAGGATACCAACTGTTGAGAAAAAGGGAATTTTGCCCACAAACTTAAATTTTCTAATTCTTTGCAACCTGGTAGTGCAAACCTTTTATATTTTATAACTTAGATTATTTGATCTAGCAGTATTCAACGTTTGAAATACCTAAGGCCTACGGCATTTGTTGCAAAAATATAGGTGATTAGAAAATCTGAGTTTCTGGCAAAAACTCGATTTCTTTATTTTTTGGCGGATAGCAATAAGACGAGGATTTAGATAAACGACTAACTATATTTTAAATATAAAGTTACAAAGTAGAAAATATAAATCTATGACGTGGCTTCTAGAAAACTCCCCTATTCTTCTCCCTGCCGCGAAAGGTTCTTCCTAGGAAAGACGACTTTCATAGCCGCCACAATTTTTAATTTCTGTGAAGCTTTTACAGATTTTACTACACGCAACTTAGGAAAGTAATAATAGCATTAAATTTGATCTTTCTTTAAAATGAAAATATTATAAAAAAAATAAGAACTGCCAACATGGTTTTTTCATCCCTTTATCTTTGAAACCTGATGTCAAAAACTCGTTCGTTTTCAAATGTAATGTATAGGAAAAACTAAAGTCAAACCTTATAGAAATCCAACGTATAGCAACAGCTACGTATAGCAACAAGGCGTATTTTCCGGGAGAACATTCTTTATATTTTTGAGAAATTAAATAATCCGTGTAAAGTAGATATAATTTTCATTTTTCATTATTTCATTTTTCATTTTCATTTTTCATTTTAAATGGTAAAACGGAATTTTATGAGATCATATTAGCATTACTGGAGAACTTTTTTTTTCTTTTAAGAATTTTTTTTTTTAAATAAAACTGTAGATAGCATTTTTATAAAATATTTTTTTTTTAAAGTAACATGCAATTTTATGTATAACCATATTATCATTCATTTATGTTGTCAGAACATTATGAAATCTGGGGGACCTTAAACACAATAGAGAGCAGTACATATGTAAATATTTAACTATTTTGCTCCTTTATTGTCTAGGGTAGGTTAAAAAAATAGAAATTATGATAATGAACGTTTAATTTCTCAAAAATATAAAAAATGTTCTCCCGGAAAATACGCCTTGTTGCTATACGTAGCTGTCTTGTTGGATTTCTATAAGATTTGACTTCGAAAAACTGTTCTTTTTATTAATATTTTTATATTAACAGTAACTATATCATCTCAATAATTTTAATGGATATTCAGTGTTCTTTTCGGTTGGTGGGGGCAGCAGTATAGTATTAATTCAGATGAGTAGGAACTGTACCAGTTTCACACCTGATACAAGGAGACATAAAATATAACAATTTTAACTTCCATTTTGGATTTATGAAATAAATTATATTTTCTAAGAATTGACAAGTTACCTTAAAGAAGGCCAAATGTCGACTGGATGCAGGATCTCAGGCTAGCTGAAATCCTGAGTTTCTCTTTGTTTGAATTTCTCTGGTTTGGTATTCTTGAATGTCGTCTTCCTGCATAGGCTCTTCTCTTTTCAGAATGAAGTTGATACATTTCTAAAAGAGTATTTTTTCTCCAGATTAAACTTAACCATGCCATCTTTTGTGCATCCACTGTATATTCAAGCTATCGTGACCAGCAAAGTCAGTGTTGTGAATTTCAGTTAATGTCGTCTTCCAACTGAAAAGACCATTTTTGTTGGTAAGATCATCCAGTTCTGCTTTTCTGCAATCCTTTAGACTATGAATACATTAAGGGGAAAAAACAAGAAATTTTTATATTGCTCTTCAGGTTTTGATACCCAAATTCCAAAAAGCCAGTTTTAAAGAAAATGACAATTCAATTCGTTGTAAAAAATTTTACTAGAATCTAATCCTCATTAAAACTTTGATTTTCTTGGATTCTAGTAAATGTGTATGTGTTCAGTGTTAAATGTGCTCAAGTATTCCTACCATCAGACCAGACTAAAAATGTATTTGTTGTTTTTTACATAAAAGTGTTTTTCATACTATATATAAGTATAATTTTGAAGTGCTAAAATCCAAAATATATTGTCTTGTTTAGGTTTGTTAGGTCTCTTACAGTATATACAATCAAAATAAAAATATATTTAAACATCGGCCCTTTCCTTTTATTAAATTATTTTATTTCGCAATCTATATATAAATTTGGTTTGTCTGTCTGTTTGTCTGTCTGTCTTTTTGTATCCAATAAACTTCAAAACGGCTGAACCGATCGGGCCCAAATTTTTTGTGGGACCTCACGGAGCCCCAGGGAATGTTTATGAATGATCAAAATTTCAAATATTTGTCTCCATCAAAATTCGATCTTCATTAAATTTTTGAAAATTTTGAAAATCCACGAAATTTTTTGCGAAAATCCGCAAATTATTTTTTTTTTTTTACGATGTACACAAAGAGAACATGTTCACAATTAATTTAGAAGATGGGCGCGAAGCGCCCTATAAGGCTAGTCTATATAAATTTATAATTTAAATATGAAAAAAAGATAATATCCATAACAAAGTTGATGCTTAATTACAAAGAAAACAAATTACAACTTTTGTAGAATTGATTCTAAACTCAGCATGAAATTTTATTTTAAAAGAGGGTTGACGGTAACATTCTAAAAATATTGAAGTTCATAAACTTACGTTACGTTTCTTTCGGATATTCTAATTGAAATACTGTTCAAGTTTTATAAATAACAAGATATAAGGTTTATAACAGTATGCTGGAAAACATTTTTTAGATGAGCATATCCAAGACTACGGTAAAACTAAAATGGGTAGTAAATGAAATTGTATTTGATATATTGATACTTAGACTGCAGTCATAAGACCATGATGAGAAGTTGTGAATTAATGAGATGAAGAATCTGGAAACCTGAGTAAAGTGAAAACATTAATCTGCAGAGCTTCATCCAAACCTTGGCATATGTACAGGCATAAACAGTTTAAAGCGGGTAAAATGTCGTCTTTATTGACTAATATAACGTCGCTGGAGATTGTATGATTAGTGATCATCAAAACTTTGAAAATGTGCACTTAACGTTTTCAGCGATATGTTAGTCGATAACTCTTTAGAATTCTAAAATCCTTTAATATGAAGAAGAAAAAAACGACATTTTATTCCTCTTAATGCTTACTGTCTCTAGCTGTTTATCAAATACGAGATGAGTTTATTGATTTAATTACAGTGATCGAAGAGAAAGACTGACTGTTACGGGAAACGCAGGGTATCCACTAACCAGTGTATTCCGTCTCAAATCTTAAAAATCGATCTCTGCGCCGAAACGTCTAATCTTAGAAATGCCACCTATCCTATGTTACCCAATGGGAAAAGAAAATGGAAATTTGTGTTACAAATCTTTACATGTTACGAGTTGTAACACTCACATATTCTGACGTTCTGCTGTGTATATAAGATGTGTATAGCCACTAGCCAACCTATCAATGCATAATTTCAATTGAAAGCTAATGACAATTGATCTTCTGGAACTATAATGAAACAATTTGTTTAGTTACTTGATAATGTTTTGACAGCATGTACCCTAAATATGTCCCAATAAACACAGGACGACGCAAAAATCATCTTGCTTTGAATCCCGAAAGTAATGAATGATCTGGAGCTATTAAAATACAGAGTTGTAACTTGTAAGTCGTCTTTTGAGCTTTCAAAAAAATGAATTGGTGGTAAAAAAATTTGCAGGCCACAATATTATATCGGAAATAAAATGTGTTTTTCTATACTATCACCTCCCAGGTCTCTCTACTGGTTTTTTATAAGCTTATCAGTACATAAACCTATTTTATGTTTGTCCACAAATATTGGACGCTTCGTTACGAGATCATCAAGTATTTCAATATCGATATAATTTGAAGGGAAACAAAAATATTATAAATCATCTGTCTGATATTTCTTCCGACCTTCTTCGTTTAGAAGGTGGAAGAGAGGGGGAGGGGTAGGGAGGTGGATCGAAGGAGTTTACGGAACTAGAAGGGGGAAGGAGTGGCTTGGGTTTGGGGGAAGGGTAGAAAGGGAGATAAAAGGTGGGGGGAGGTTTGTTTTTACTCCTCCATTTTACGTTTCAAGTAGCTTTATACGTTTAGAAGAAAGCTTGATTTTATTTTCAATTGAAATATGAGAAGATAATCTTGTATTGCTCTCCAGCTAGTAGTGTATCAAGTACCCGGAGAATAAAGTAAATGCTTTGGAGCAAAACCTTGATCAGTTTTCATTCTCCAATGTTTAATATTTTTCGAACACGAATCACAAAATGAATATTTAAACAGAAAATGATTCTCTTTCTATCATTCATCATATACGTGTCTGTTGGGACAGAAGGAAGGTAATCATAATATCTCACAGATAGGAGAAGTGATTCAACCCTAAACCATACTGGTTTCTACTCATTAACTCTTAATTTAAACCTACTGCAGGGATGATTAGAGAGAAAATATTGAATGATACATTTAGAGCACAAATGTGAAATAAGCAAACTTAGATTTTCTAATCCCTATACCTTCGCAACCTGATGGTGTAAACTTTTGACATTTCAAACTTCATAGTTTGAAATGTCTAAGGTCTACGACATAGTATGCACTTTTTAAATAAGGAGTTATGATAAAAATTTAAGATTTCAATAAAACGTGAAAACTTTAATCGACTTTTGGCGAGTAATCAATTCCTTTAATAAAGTCTGGTTGGCTAGACACTGTAATCTTGCCAGGCTACGTTTGTTGCATTAAACGTGCTGGGTCAACTCTATACTTGGTGGTCCAGAGTTATATAAACTGCACAGTACGAGTTGATGTATTAACACTGTACAGTACAGTACCGGCTCAGATCAAGTAACTTTTAGATTATGGTGTAGGATAGACTTGGTGGTTTCTTCTAACTGTAAAGAGCAGAAAGAGTTTTATTTTTGTTATAAATAACAGAGTTTTATAGGGAGAGTAGAGACAAATAGATAATTACTCATTTTCTTTATACTTTTTATATCAAGCGAGAGAGATGGTTTAATTCACTCACAACAAATAGGAGTTACATTCTTCAAGATTTATTTTCATTTATGGTTTGCCATCAATTCAACTTGGTCGCTAATAAAAAAATCGATTGTTATATTATTATAAAGATTTATCACACATAAATATAAACACCCACATATGTAAATGGTGTAGTTTACATTTATTTAGATATTTCGAATATATAGTTTTACAAAAGTAAAAAATATGCAAAATTTTGCATAAATGGGCGACATTGATCATTACTCATTACTTAACATATTTATCATTACAGTTATTATGTAATCATCGAATCATTCAACATATAAATTATTCATTCTTGTATTTAATAGTTCTTGTAAAATCGGAACTTTCCATGCATGGTCCAATGGAAATCAGAATATTTCATTTGTTTTCATGTTAAACACCAGAGCTGTTNGCTTAGAACTTGCTTCAATAGTCTCATAGAAAGACACACATCTGCTAGCTAACATAGTTTTTACATGTAAACATTGTGAAATACTTTCAATCAAGTACCTATGCGTATCTCTAGGTACATTAAAAAGAATTCTAATAGCAGTATTCCATGCTGTATACAATTTTGAAACACATTGGGAACTCAAGTCCCAAATACCAGATCCATAAAAACTACAACAGTAAATATCATACAGTTTTAAAACAACATCAGGATTGTTAAAATAAAATTCTTGGTTAAGGGAATGAATTTTTGAAATGAAAATAGTTCGTTTTTTATTGCAATCTATGGTCATTGAATTATTTTTTTTGCAGAATATGTCCTAAATGTTTCAAGTCGTTGACAAATGGTAAAAGGAATTGAGTCTTTGCCACAAACTCTGATTTTCTAATCACTCTAACTTTGAAACCAATGTCGTAGACCTTAGATATGTCAAACTATGAATTCTGTTAGATCAAATAATCTAAGTTTGAAATATCAAAGGTTTACAACATCGGGCTCTAAAGATATTGAGGTTTAAATATTTGAATTTGTTCCAAAGACTCAATTCCTTTGGGTTATTTCATTAAAGCCCTCGCTTGCTTGATTACTTAATTCACTCAATAATTGATTCTTCTTAAAGAGACTGATAAGCGTAATTTCAAATGACCCTCCAAGGAAAGATGTCAATGCCTGATTCAAAACGACCCTTGAAACCTTTATCTGATTAGTATAATTCTGATAATTTCTGGAAACACAAAAAAATATTTTTATAAACATAAACATTATACTTGATCAGGCAAAGGTTTTAAGGGTACCGTTGTAAATCGGATATTGCGCAGGGAAACAGGAAATTACGCTTACAGTCTATTTAAGAAGGTTGATTCGTTTTTGCTTTATATAATCTTTCGACACAAAAATTTGGATAGCCTAATAAAAGTAAGTTTTAGCATTAACACCTTTGAAATTTGTGAAAATTCTTAGATTTATGTAAGACATTGAAAAAAAGCAGAATACTTCAAAATAAGAAATAAAAATAAGAACAAAATTAACACCATCCTAAACCTACAACTACTTTACAGGGAAGTTAAGGGAATTTGGACATTTATTCGTCAAGGGAACCCGTGGGTATGTATATGTAGTGTACCTTGTAATTTCCTGAAAAGGTAGTTGTATACAATTTTGTCGTCTTTTAACATGCAAATACGCGAATTTATTCACGAAAACTATGCAGGGCGGGTCGTTATTTTCAGTAACTTCACGTCCCTCTGTTGGGGGTATCATAGGTTGGTAGTGTTGGCCTAAAGCGATCAAGTGCTTATATCGGATTAAACAGCTGACTGGTATTTTGGATCTATAATTGGTCGTCATCAGATAGTTCATGACCTTCGGGTACGGAATAGTATGTTTTCTGAAGAAATTTATAGTTCAAAAATGTCGACCTCAGGCCATAAATTTTGTTTATTCAAGGTTTTCTTTAAACTCTTTCTTTCACCATGTTGCGTGCTAGAGAAGCTAAAGAAACGATTTTAGCAAAGCTGATTAATAGTTCTGTATAGTCCCAGTGTGTGTTAGTGTGAGTGAGTGTATGTGCGTGTGTGTTATCCAATTAACAATTATGACAGAAAATTCCATAATTTCATTCCTTGTCACCTCTTTCCATTCTTCTCTACACCAAGTTTTAGCTTTTTACAAACTTTTAATTTAACAAAAAATAATGATTTAGAATTACTTTCTTTTTAATAGAAAGAATATAAACAAAAACCATAAATATTAAATATGTTTATAGACAAAATGTCAGTTTTTAAAAATCTACGAAAACATTTTCCAGGATGTGTTACACTTGTTCGAATTTAAAGCTTAATCAAACATGTCCTAAAGATGCTGTCAAAACTAATGTCAGGTAGGAAAATAATGAACTGTTGATTACAATAACAGTTAATTATATAACCATGGAGGTCTAATAATGCTTGTAACATTCTCCTAACAATAAATACTAAAATCCTAAGTTTAACCTGAGGTTTCCCAAAGAAATTGATTCTTTGCCACAAACTCTTATTTTCTAATTCATGTCTCTTTGCAAACCAATGTCATTTACCTTAGATATTTGTAATCAAATAATCTAAGTTTGAAATATCAAAGTTTTAAACCTTTAGGTTGCAAAGATATAAGGATTAGATAATCTAAGTTTGTGTAAAATAATCAATTCCGTTCAAACTTTATTTAGATATTAAGAAAGGAATCGGGTTCACTCCCCTCAAACTGTAATTTTTATGATCCATATATATTTGCAACCGTATGTTGTCACTGTGGTCTCTTGCCTTGCTACATTTGTTGCATATAACGTTCTGGGACTTTACACTGGGTATAGTTCAGGCTCAGATCATGCAGTTTTTAGAATGGGGTTTAGACCTTAGTTACGTCAAAATTTAAACTTTTCCAGATAGAATTTCAGAGTTTGAGGCGAGTAATCAGTTCAATTAGGGTAAAATATATTTATCCTTACAATTTGTTTTTAATACGATATGCTTAGGGTTTAATTTTATCTCCATTTAGTCTAAAAAGGTTCCAGACCAAGGTGACGTCTTTTGGATAGATTTGGCAGAATTAGAATAATTTTGAAAAATAATCGACATCGTTCAGTTAACTTCCAGCATCACGAACCTTTCCGGTGTTTTAATTTTTTTAAGATTTATTTTTTTATTTTTGAAAAGTGATGTATTTTCGTGCGTACTCTGGAGAACTAGAAACGATGCTAAGGTGAGTTGGGAGGATTAAGGGATAAAAACAAATTAGATTAAAAAGATTTTAGGTTTTGATTTTTCTGTCAAAGTTTGCAAAAAATTTATAATATTTAGAAACAATATGCCAAATGAAGAAATGTTTTTCTTTTACTTACACAGATTGTTTTCAATCGGACCGGAAGTCAAAAAAGTGTCTTTGAATTTTTATTGATGAAAAAGTTGAAATGTTTATAATTTTGATCTTTTTTCAATGTTGCGTGAAAATAAAAAATTATTTATGTTTCTGTGATTAAATTAGTTTGGGATTAAATATTTTTGATTGGATTTATTAGAAAATAGAAATCTTTAACTCTGAAGTTTAAATTGCACTCCAGAAGAATTGAAGAAATTAAAGACAACAAATTTTTTTCAACACTCTTTCAATTATCAGTAGTAACTCCTAATAATCTGAGAAATATTGCAGAAAAATGTGATATACATAGAGTCAAACATATTGTAATAAATTGTATGATATTTCGTTGAATACCTCCTAAAGATTGAAGAGAATTCCATTTTAAATAAAATAAAAAATAGCAATGTTATCGATGAAATTGATCAATCTGAGCTTATAAATTTGATATGCACGACCTATCTTTAGCAGAATTTATTTAAAATTATTTTTCTTGTATTAACTTTGTACGAATTATCTAAATTGTGTATTTTCACGAAATAAATAAATAAATAAATAAATAAATAATGATTAAAAGTATAATTTTCATAGGAGGAGAATAATTCAAAACTTTTGAGACAAACCTTTTTATATGATAATGAATGTTTGAAAACTGAAAGATGGAAGGATTTCATGAAAAGAAGGTATATATCTAATTAAATATTTTATAAGAAAATAGTTAAATCGATATAAAGGAATTGAGTAATTGGAACAAAATCAAATGTTTAAACCCCAATATCTCTTGAACCGGATCTTGTAAACCTTTGATATTTCAAACTCAGATTATTTGATTTGAAAGAATTCATAGTTTGAAATATTTTAGGTCTACAACATTTGGTTCCAAAGATATAGTTATTAGAAATTCAGAGTTTGTGGCAAAGACTCAATTCCTATAGATAAAACTGATTTGAATCTGTACTCATACCACCCCATTAAATTTTTAAAACTTTTTACTTGAATCTAGCCTACAGAGACATCAGTTTCAAGATTTAGAACTATGAAAATCGTTGTTATAATTTATCATCATTTCTAGGTATAATGTGCAAGGTGAGATGGAATGTTGTAAAACTGATCTATGCAACACCCTGGAGATAAGTCCTGTTTCCTCCGCCAGTAATTCTACCCACCCGGATAGAAACTATGTATCCGGGTGCTCTAAAAGGTTTAGATTAAATGGAACGGAGTCTCTAGTTCCATCTCATTTTATAGCAATGAATGATGATTTAACCCCTCCTATGGAGTCTGTGTCTCTTGAGCTAAGAAAGAAAAGGGAAACTACTCCGACTGGAGAAGGAAGCAGAGTAAAAAGAGATATTAACCAACCAGGAGCAACCTTAACATCGAACCAGTCTCAGGTTTGTAATACAGATATACACTTACGAAGTTACGTTGCAGTACAGTACGTAAAAGTACATTTAGGTACACACTTACAATGCAGTACAGTGCATTAAGTATGTATATAGGTATACACTTAAGGTGCAGTACAGCACATAAAAGACATCTAGGTACCACTTACGGTGCAGTACAGCACATTAAAGTACATATAGGTTTACGCTTACAGTGCAGTACAGTAGAGTTTAGTACATATACACTTGTAGTGCAGTACAGTAGAGTATCGTGTATATGGGTATACACTTACAGTGCAGTACAGTACAGTAAAGTGCGGTACATTACGGTACAGCATAAACAATTATGCACGGAAGGGTTGTAGGCCATTTTTCAAGTTTTATTTCCAATAGTGTCTTTTTACGGTCATTACGACTTTTTCAAAGGTTGACTCTTACTGTAGTTTGCAGCCTATCAGAAGGCCTATCCTAATCATAACAAATATTTTAAAAACAAAGGAATTGAGTCTTTGCAACAAATCTCAATTTTCTAATACCTATATATCTGCAACCTAATTATTTAAACCTTAGATATTTCAAACTTTCATTATTTGATATAACAGAAGTCAAAGTTTGAAATATCTAAGGTCTACAACATTGGGTTATTAAGATATAGGGATTTAAAAACCAGAGTTTGTGGCAAAGACTCAATTCCTTTGTTTGAGGCGCTGCACCGCAGACACTTTAAGAAACAAGATCGCATAAACTTTACTTGAAACGAATGCAATTCTTTGGATTGAGAATTTCTCCAGAATATCTTTATCCAGACACGTTTTAGTTCTAGTTCTAGTTCTAGTTCTAGTTCTAGTTCTAGTTCTAGTTCTAGTTCTAGTTCTAGTTCTAGTTCTAGTTCTAGTTCTAGTTCTTAGTTCTAGTTCTAGTTCTAGTTCTAGTTCTAGTTCTAGTTCTAGTTCTAGTTCTAGTTCTAGTTCTAGTTCTAGTTCTAGTTCTAGTTTCAGCAAAATTCTTTCTTCTGTCTGAAAACTTTTAAACTTTAAAGTTTGATCGTACTGTAGGCATATTTTAAATCGCATAAGCATGCATAAAATGTAAAAAAATGTTCTATTAAGAGATGTTAAATACATCACTTTTTTGTTAATCCAGGTTGGAAAAGATACTCCCTCCTACAGACTCAACTCCGTTCAACTTATTCTTGGAGACGAGGAGAAAATATTTGAATTTGTAACCTCGCCATCTACAACAAGGTTTTTTCTTTAGCTTTTTTAAATTAGAAATATTAATTTTGTTAAACATTTTAGGAGCCTTAATAGTAGTGTTCAAGGAATAACGATCCCACCAAGTCAAGGTTTGCCTTCTATATATTCTTCTATATAGTAGGTGGGTGGTTGAACCTTTCAGAAGGGAAATAAAAGATTTAATCCACCTTAAATTATTTAGTAGTATTTTAGTTTCTCCTGTGAATGAGTCAAACCAAAGTACAGCTCCGTTCTCCTTGACCACTCAGTTTCCATTATCTTCACCTACCCTGGGTTTAGCTCCAGGTTTTGTATTTGCACCGGGAGAAACCAAGATAAACTTCAACTCATCCGATGGATTAAACAAGTTTACTCAACTTGTAAATGCGTCTCAAACCGTTCCTCCGTCCGGACTAGGTTCAGTTGCTTCTTTGACAGTTCCGGGTACAAACCTAACCAGCAGCAAACAAAACTTATCAGTTATTTCTCCCGTTTTATCATTCGGTTCTGTCCCACAACAAACTCAAGCATTGAATCCAGTATCAGTTCCAGCTCCAAGGCCTGTGTTAAATCTAGCTCCTGATCTAGTTTCAAACTTAGTTCCAGTTTCAAATTTAGCTCCAGGACCACCTCTGCCTATATCTCCCATTCCAGCTCCAGTTCAACCTCCGTATCTAGCGACAGACTCTGATCCAGACAAACTCCAAAATCCTGCTTTACTTCTAGAAACCAACCAAACCCTAGGCCAGGAAAATATTCTCCCAACCACAACCAACCGGACTGTAAAAGCTCAAACTGCACAAAATGGGTCTCTCCTAGGTGAAGTCAGGGAATTGGATGTTCAGGAGATTCTTTCCCGACATGAACCTGCATTAATAGATGCAAATAAACCTGTATTACTAAACTCTAGTACTCCAGGTGTTTACTCCACAACCGTCACCTACCCGCTAAACGGTACACAGGTCAATGGAATGATGATACTTGAAACAAACAATACCTTCTCAAAACAGAACTCAAATTCTGGTTTACCATCAGTTCCTCCTGCATTTAACCCAAGCTCTAAACTCACATCAGATAACAGTACTGCACAGCTACCCACCACGGCTAACTTAACTAACGACAACCCAACAACTTCAATCAGCAATTTGCTTGCAACCAACAGCTCTTTATTGAAAACTGTCAATAGCACAGGTAACATGTTGTTGTCAAACAGCAGTGTCCCTTTTCCTCAGAATATAGACAACACCGTAATACCATTGAACAACAACACAAATCAATTAAACAACAGTATTGGACAAGCCAAAAATTCCACTGTTCCCTTAATCAACAACTCGGTGCCCGTTAGTAACGAATTACTGCCCCAATCCAATATTAGCGTGCCAGCAATCTTCCAACAACCGTCATTGAACCCAAACAATACAAATATCACTTCTCCAGTGAACGGGTTTAAAGGCAAGAAAGCTAATATCTCCAGCAGTACCTCAGAACTGACAAACCTTACTTCACCAATGGAACCAACCAACCTGGAGATAAATAATTCTTCGGAGATAGAATCCCACAACAAGCTTCTTATTTTCTACGTCAAGTTTGAAAATAAAACTGCAAATAACAACGTGGTTTTAAGGTTAGATTTCAAGAAAACTAAGACTATTTTATATTTTAATTATATTCTTTCACTAAAAGAGATTGTAAGCCTTGTTTCAATTGACCCCCATGCAAAGATTGCTTTTGTAGAGAAACTACAATTGAAAATAATCGGTTTTCAAACTATAAACATCGATATCTATTTTATACTTGATCAGACAAAACTTTCAAAGGTACCGTTGTGAATCCGGCAGTTCAATCTTTGCATAGAGAGCAACTTGAAATTACGCGTATAGTCCCATTAAGTATGATATATCCAAGATTATTGGATGGTAACCTGGATCCTACTAAACTCTACAGTGTGAGGATAGAACAGAACGGACCTGTTGCTAATCTCATGGTCAAGGTGTCTACTGACGAAGATAAAGGTTAAAAAAAGTGTTTGCAAAACTATACTTTATGTACATTACATCAAAATGAATGTTAGGAAACATTTGATAAATTTGAAAATGTGAATTGTAAAGCTTTCCATACATTAATATAAATATCTCAAGGATTTGGATCTGCGTCTTCCAGCTTATTCTTCAAGGAGGATCTAGAACCTTTACAGGTAGACAGGTAGACAGGTAGACAGGTAGGCAGGTAGACAGGTAGACAGGTAGACAGGTAGACAGGTAGACAGGTAGACAGGTAGACAGGAAGATAGGAAGACAGGTAGATAGATAAACAAGCAGACAGGTAGACAGATAGACAGGTAGAAAGACTGGATAAGTTCATTATTCTTTAGTTAGACGAATATACTGGATTCTGGATCCGGACCGTGAACTCAAGTGTAGAGCTAGGACGGATACAATCAAACCAAGGCATAACGATGAACAAACCTATTGTCAGGTAGAATAATATTAATGATTTTTCTTAATAGAAATTTTCTTTTTAAGGAACTGTAAGCGTAATTTAAAGTGAGTAAAAAGAGTCTGTGTTAAAATATTTATTTTCTGCCGATTTAAGAAAGTGAATATTTATATTTTTTAAACAAAGTGTTCAAATATTAACAACTTATCGTATATTAATGAGAATAATTTCGACAACCTTAATCAGTCAAAGGTTTAAAGGGTACCGTTGTAAATGCAGTATGCATGGAACTGAAATTACGCTTACAGTCCCTTTCATCTAAATAAAAGTTTAATTTGCATCAACTTGATTGATTGTGTTTAGATGGTCTGACTCAAGTAACCTGGTAGATGTTCACTATGTAGGGTTTACAGGAGGAGGATCAGGGGGAGTAGTTCTAGAATATGCTTGTAATACAACTCAGGTACTAGGAGTAGAACTAGGAATAGTTCTAGAATATACCTGTAATACAACTCAGGTACTAGGAGTAGTTATAGAATATGCCTTTAATACAACTCAGGTACTAGGAGTAGAACTAGGAGTAGTTCTTGAATATACCTGTAATAAACTCAGGTACTAGGAGTAGACCTAGGAGTAGTTCTAGAATATACCTGTAATACAACTCAGGTACTAGGAGTAGAACTAGGAGTAGTTCTAGAATATACCTGTAATACAACTCAGGTACTAGGAGTAGAACTAGGAGTAGTTCTTGAATATGCTTGTGATACAACTCAGGTAGTAGGAGTAGAACTAGGTGTAGTAGACTATGCCTTTGAGGTTGTAATACAGAAAATAGTTGGCTTAGTTATGCTCCTAACTCCAAATTGTTAAAAAAATTGTTAAAAAGACACATTAAAATTCTAACTTTTCCTTTTCCTATTTCATTGTAAAATTTCTATCATACTTCTATATATTTATTTTTGTAAAGACATTTATTTTTTATTTAAAGTTAGGAGTTGGTGGGGTGGAGCAAGGAGCAAGTTCTAAACTCTCCGAACCTTAAGCGGATCTGTGGTGAGAGGAAACCACAGCTTAGTAGATTATATCCAGGTTCTAAATAAATATAAATACTCTCTGCAAAGTAGAATTCTAGTTTAGTCCTTCTTTTCAGGATATTTATATCTGTGCTCGAAAAAATATCATAAAGTTCGTTAGAAAGGTTACCCCCATGTTATCCCAAAGTTGCTGGAAAGTATGTTCTCACTTTTGTTCGAAAGAATAACTTTCTTTGGCTGGAGTCCTAATCAAAGCTTGGAAAAATATTCTTTCCAACTCATATTTCTTTGTTTTCCAAATTGAATTTCATGATATGTTTTTAAACGTGTTTTTTTGTCTAAATTTGAATTTAAAAATGTTGTAAATAAACGTTCAGTTTGTGTAGAAAACAGTTTAAATGGAGAGCTGATGAAAGCATTGCATGAAGAGAGGTTGATGGAGTTTGTTAGGTATTCTACTGTGACGTATTAGAATAGGTCTAGAACTAGACTAGGTTTATTGTAAACATTTAGTAAAGCTTAATGTCGCACCCAGGCCAGGCCTTCCATTCATTCACATTAACACCGACTAAATAACTAGTCTTGGTTTTTATCTTCTTTCTATAAAAGAAAGCTCTTCGCTAATATATGTGTATATATTTATATGTTAGCTAAAGCTAGCTAAACGGCTGGACCAAATTGGCTGAATTTTTTTATGGAAACCCATGGGTAGCCCGGGGGTAATATGGGATAAAAAAATGGAAATTTTTTAAAATCGCCATGCTACGTCGGGCACTTCAAGCCAAAATAATGATTTAAGACCAAGCTCGGGTAAACGGCGAGAATAACTATGAGTAACCTGGGTACGTCAGAAAACCAGTGTACAGAATACAACTACANCGCATTGCAACATTTTTTACTCTTGAAAACATCCTTTTACGTCTTTTAGTTTTAAAGAAACTATTTTTCTTCTTGAAAACGTTTTGGAATTCTCTGAAAGGGACTATACACGTAATATCCCGTGATCTCGTATTGTAAAATGATGTTCCCGATTCACAACGGTGCCCTTTTAACACTTATCTGATCAAGGTAGCCTCTGAGTGTCAGGTCTGGACCAAACTAACCAAGTTGGAAAAAACAGCACGTTTCCTTGTGTGAAATATGAAAGGCTGCATATTTAGAAATCAAGAAAGGTTGTTTTTGATTTTTAAAATAAAATTAAAATTTTTCAATATTTTGATTATTAGTCGATACAAAAGAGAGTAGAGTGATGAAAATAATTCTAGCTTTTATGTTGCTTTTAGTGTTGAATAACAAATATTGTTAACAATGTTTTACTTGGTCTATGTTCTGTAAATTAAATAAAATGAACATGGTCAGAATGACACAAAATGTAAACATTTTGAGGAATATTAAAACAACAAACCTAATCTAGAGGATATATCTGCCCTTCTTTACTTTTTCAGTTTAAATTTAGTTGCCCCTCGTCATGTTGACAAGTTATTTACGAAGTTTCTCGCCAACTAAATAGATCCATGAAAATAAAGTTTCTAAATAATAACTGACAAACATTTTCTCATCTTTGGTTAAAAATGTCTTTTATGTTTTGTAGCAAAAGGACAATGCAGTTGGAATTAGAGGATAGATAAGGGAAATTAGAGGATAGAGAAGGGAAATTAGAGGATAGAGAAGGGAAATTAGAGGATAGAGAAGGGAAATTAGAGGATAGAGAAGGGAAATTAGAAGATAGAGAAGGGAAATTAGAGGATAGAGAAGGGAAATTAGAGGATAGAGAAGAGAAATTAGAGGATAGAGAACGGTAATTAGAGGATAGAGAAGGGAAATTAGAGGATAGAGAAGAGAAATTAGAGGATATAGAAGTGAAATTAGAGGATAGAGAAGAGAAATTAGAGGATAGAGAAGGGAAATTAGAGGATAAAGAAGGGAAATTAGAGGATAGAGAAGGGAAATTAGAGGATAGAGAAGGGAAATTAGAGGACAGACAGAGTAATGTAAGAGGAGAGGATCAGTTTATATAGGTTTGGATCCTCATGATTAGATCAGTATTGCAAGATATGATGGAACGGTTTAGTATAAATACACTTTGATTTGACCACAGGACGCACAGTGGGGTGTAAGGGGAGGGTCAGCCAAAATGAAATTTTTCCATAAACCTCTTATTTATGTCAAATAAGGCTTGGCCGCTTAACATTTTTTTTGAGAAAGGTCTATAAGTTGTTTAAATGTTATGTTTTAGTTATTAATTTTGACCAAAACCCCGCTATTTCATGGAAAACTCTTAAAATATGATTTTTCAGTACTCCACTCTGACTAAATCAAGGTTTTGGCGTGCTGCCGTCGGCCCTAAATCTTTTATATGTGGTTTTCTTCCGAAATCAATCTCTGTAACAAAGACGACATCTAAATATATTTCTGGTTTACAGGATCCATTCAAGGATAAATATATGAACGGGAAAAGTAATTGAAATCATTATAAATCAATACAAGATACAATTGATACAATGTTTGTAAATTAAAAGATTTCAGAATATATTCATTTTGTCCATTCTCACAATGTAATACAAGACAAATGCATTTTAATAGGAGTATTGTGACAAAAACCAATCACCCCCCCCATGATCCCCTAAAATACCCCACCGTGAGAGAGCTTGATCAAATTTTCCACTGGAAATATATTAATACACTAGCACAGCACAGCACAGACTCTAGCACAGGGCTTCCTATTTGATCCGTTGCATTTTTAAATGACAGACAACCCAGCTGTAAACCTTCCTCTTTCTATATATTGGAATAAAGGAATTGAGTCTTTGCCACAAACTCAATTTGTTCTTATCCCTATATCTTCGGAACCTGATAATGTAAACCTTTGATATTTCAAACTTAAATTATTTGATCTAATACAATTCACAGCTTGAAATACCTAAGGTCTACGACACTGGGTTACAATGATATAGAGATTAGAAAATCAAAGTTTGTGACAAAGACTCAATTCCTTTCCGATAATCTTACACTTGCACTTACATTGTTTCTCGAAATTCCCAAATATTCTATGCCCTACGCGGTTTTAAAAAATTAAAATTAAAATATTTATTTCCTGTGACGTATACTGGAAAGTAAATATAAATATTTCTTAAATGTGAAACAGCTTGCAAACTAAATTACAAGCGATTCGGTAGAGAAGTAAGAATAGAACCGTACTGTTGTTTGTGAATCGTACATGCCACACTAATTAAGGATCAATTGAAATTACGTCTACAGTCCCAATAAACGGGGTAAATCTGATACTTTGATGTCTTCGGAAACTCCCTTTAAGAGTTTGAATAGAAGTTATATTGGGACAAACTGATTTGTGATATTATTACAAATAAATGGGAAAAACATGTTTTTTTATCAACCAGCTCATAGCAATACACGTTATTATTATTCATGTTATTTAATAATAGAAGGAAAAAAATGTAAAACTGAAAATACCCTTTTCTCCCCAGCTGAGGAAATATTATTTTATGAACCTGAACTTCTAAAAATAATGAAGATGAAGAAGAAAAATAATATAAGTTATTTAATAAGAAGGATGGATAGAGAGCAAGAGAGAACAATTGATTAAAAGCAAGATTTAAACTCATGTTTCAGGACTCCGGAGTAACTTTAAGTTGGATTGGAAAGAAGTAAAGAGGTTTGCGAATAAACCGTTCTTAATTTCCTAGTTTCGGAGTTTGTGTTAAACTATCCTGAACCTTGATCCGCTTGCCAAAACCGTCAAACTTCTCCAACCATCCTTTTAAACAAACCCAACCCTACAACTTGTCTCAACATACAACATAGTTCATTACCTGGCCCTGCAATACATAGCTTACCTTTGCTCTTATGATTACATAGCTCCAGTATTCACTTGGCTCCAGTATTCACTTGGCTCCAGTATTCACTTGGCTCAAGTATTCACTTGGCTCCAGTATTCACTTGTCTCCAGTATTCACTTGGCTCAGTATTCACTTGGCTCCAGTATTCACTTAGCTCCAGTATTTACTTACTCCAGTATTCACTTGGCTCAAGTATTCACTTGGCTCAAGTATTCACTTACTCCAGTATTCACTTGGCTTTAGTATTACTTGGCTCCAGTATTCACTTGGCTCCAGTGTTCACTTGGCTCCAGTATTCACTTACTCCAGTATTCACTTGGCTTTAGTATTACTTGGCTCCAGTATTCACTTGGCTCCAGTTCCAGTATTCACTTGGCTCCAGTATTCACTTGCTCCAGTATTCACTTGGCTTCAGTATTCACTTACTCCAGTATTCACTTGGCTTTAGTATTACTTGGCTCCAGTTATCACTTGGCTCCAGTATTCACTTGGCTCCAGTATTCACTTACTCCAGTATTCACTTGGCTTTAGTATTACTTGGCCCCAGTATTCACTTGGCTCCAGTGTTCACTTGGCTCCAGTATTCACTTACTCCAGTATTCACTTGGCTTCAGTATTCACTTACTCCAGTATTAACTTGGCTTTAGTATTACTTGGCTCCAGTATTCACTTACTCCAGTATTCACATGGCTTTAGTATTACTTGGCTCCATAATTCACTTACTCCAGTATTCACTTGGCTCCAGTATTCACTTGGCTTTAGTATTCACTTGGCTCCAGTGTTCACTTGGCTCCAGTGTTTACTTGGCTCCAGTATTCACTTACTCCAGTATTAACTTTTCTTTAGTATTACTTGGCTCCAGTATTCACTTGGCTTGCAGTATTTGCTTGGCTCCAGTATTTACTTGGCTCCAGTATTCACTGGGCTTGCAGTATTTACTTGGCTCCAGTATTCACTTGGCTCCAGTATTCACTTGGCTCCAGTATTCACTTGGCTCCAGTATTCACTGGGCTTGCAGTATTTACTTGGTTCCAGTATTTACTTAGCTTTAGTACTTATTTTAGCTCTTGTCTTCATTAACTCTAGTTTTCACTTTGGCTTTAGTATTCAACAAGAATCAATATTCAAATAGCTCCAGTTTTCACTGAGCTCCAGTATTAACATATCTAACTCCAACATTAACTATTTCTGTACCCGGAGTACAGAATGGTTGGTGTATCCATGTATCGTAAGTAAATCTAAACCTGGGACGGAGGCCTAAAGAACGAAGGACCGGAGTTGGAACGGAGAAAGAAGATAAATTCGGCCAGTTCTTCAGTAAACTCTGACCTCTACACACGGAGCCACGAAACCGTGATATCAAACATATAAAATCATATTTTAAAAATAACAAAGGAAAAATTTTAAAACTTTTAATTGTGAGTAAGGTAAAATTGTACGTGTTTATTGCAGCGTATATTTTAAATCACACTAAAAATTACAAAAGTTAAAAAAAAGAAAAAAAAGAATAAAACCTGACATTCTTTTATATTGATGTGTTGTAGCGTGGGTGTTTCACTAAATCGTTAGTACTTATTTTCCTGCGAAATAATGTTACACGATAACTACAGGGGGGGGGGAGCAACCTAATTTATGATATTAATAAACTTTTAACATTTTCCACTAACTACTTTTATTAACCATTTCCCGAGATATTTAGTTTCGGTTTCGAAAATGAACTGAATAAGAACTGAAAACTCTAATTTAATTTTTGATCCCTGTATCTTTGCAATCTGATGGTGTAAGCCTTTGAAAATTCAAACATAGAATATTTGATCTTTGACTACAAATTCCAGTTGCAGAGATAAATTTGTGTGTTTTAAGTAAAACATTGCAGTTATTTAAAACGGCCACCATTTGATACATGGCACTTTTGGACCCTAAACTGAACATCGTAATTTTTTCTTAGTAAATCCTAAGTTTGAGCGCAAAGTCGATGTTCAAAATCGTACTTTTGGGTGGATACGTTTTCAGAATACGTTAATTTATTGACAAATTTCTTTTGAGAAATATGCTCCTAGAGATCTAAATATTTTAATGTATAATATTTACTTTATTTTTCGTCGTCGTTATTTTATAATTAAAAAAAACGATTCTGAAAACGTACCCACCCAAATTCATGATTTTGAACGTCGACTATGCACTCAAACTCAGTAATTATACATCGTGGAAATGTTTTATATGCCTCAAATGAATCCTGAAGAATTTGTCCACAACACTGCTTATTCGGTTTAACTACCTTACATAGCTGGTCTGTCCCTTTAAACCTTATTTTCCTGATTGTCGTCTTAGTTGAATTGGAAAAAAGACTTTATTTTACTAATCCATGTAATATAAGAGAGAGAAAAAACTATAAAATACCATAAGAGACGTCTAAGGTTCGGACCGCGGACGGCTATTTGATATCCAAGAGGAATTGATTTAATCCGTAGAACTGAAGATACGGATAGTCCTGGATCCTGGAATTCAAAGAACAAAGGTTCTGAGCTCAGGTTTATTTCTAACTCGTGATTGTTAGGATGGATAAGGATTAAGTCATGAAGAATTGGAGAAGGAAGATGAAATTAATAAAAGATCGGATTTAATATCATATAAAAAATGATTGAAGGAAAAAATATTAGATAAAGAAGTAATAAATGAATTTGGATTTGAGAGAGGAAAAGATGGAGAAGTGTTGAAGCAGGAAGGATTTAATGGAGAGAATTTGGATGGAAAGTTTCGAATGAAGGAGGATTGAATTTTAATGATTGGATGCAAAAATTTATATATTAATGATATAGGATTGATATCAGATTGATAAAGGATTGACATAGGATTGAATGGGTATAGATTAGTATAGGATTGATATAGGATTGAATAAAGAGAAATGGGCTTGAGTCTTTGCCACAATTCCTAATTTTCTAATACAGCTATATCACTAAAACAAGATGGCGTAAACCTTTGATATTTCAAACTTTGATTATTTGATCCATCAGAATTCCTAGTTTGAAATATCTAAGGTCTACAACATTGGGTTGTAGAGATAAAGGTATTAAAAATCAGAGTTTGTAAAGATTTGGTTGGAAAATGGATAGAATTATAAAAGGATTGAATAAAGATGGAAAATTGTGAAGAATTGGAAAATGGGTAATCAAATCCTAACTGATTAAATGGAGATGGTAGGATTGAAGAGGATTGAAGAGGATTGAAGAGGATTGAAGAGGATTGAAGAGGATTGAAGAGGATTGAAGAGGATTGAAGAGGATTGAAGAGGATTGAAGAGGATTGAAGAGGATTGAAGAGGATTGAAGAGGATTGAAGAGGATTGAAGAGGATTGAAGAGGATTGAAGAGGATTGAAGAGGATTGAAGAGGATTGAAGAGGATTGAAGAGGATTGAAGAGGATTGAAGAGGATTGAAGAGGATTGAAGAGGATTGAAGAGGATTGAAGAGGATTGAAGAGGATTGAAGAGGATTGAAGAGGATTGAAGAGGATTGAAGAGGATTGAAGAGGATTGAAGAGGATTGAAGAGGATTGAAGAGGATTGAAGAGGATTGAAGAGGATTGAAGAGGATTGAAGAGGATTGAAGAGGATTGAAGAGGATTGAAGAGGATTGAAGAGGATTGAAGAGGATTGAAGAGGATTGAAGAGGATTGAAGAGGATTGAAGAGNAAAATTTTGAAAATCCACGAAATTTTTTGTGAAAATCCGCGAATTATTTTTGTTTTGTTTTACGATGTACACAAAGAGAACATGTTCACAATTAATTTAGAAGATGGGCGCGAAGCGCCCTATAAGGCTAGTTAGATTATATATGGATTATTTCTTTTGATACCCCTTCGTAAATATTTTTCTATATGAATACAAAAATGAATACAGTTTGATTAATGTATTTTCTAATGTATAATGCGTGAAAAAATAAGTATCATTGTCTAACTTGTCTAAAAAAGAAAACTCCTGTTGAATTATAAAATCATGTATTATAAGTGCTGCAACTATATATAGATTTATTAGATGTAGGTGTTGGTTATTGATTAAGCGCTCTCCTAATTATTCTATAAATATTAAATGATTTTTATTTATTTATTTTCTTAACTAATCTTCCATTGTACTTGGCACTATTACATATTAACGTAATCATGATTATTATTCTTTCTAACATAACTCCGCCATAATATTCTCCATCCTCCGCCATTTATCCTTCATCCTCCATCCACCTTGTATAACCTCTATCCTTTGCCATATATCCTCCAACATCCACCAACCTCCACCATGTATCCTCCATATACTCCGCCCTATGTAACCTCCAGCCTACCATACAGCACCAAATACACACTCCGCCAATATTCTCCTTACTCCGGTAATCCATATACACCGCCATATATTTTCCATATATCCTTCATATAATCCGCCATATATCCTTCACATATACTCCGCCATATATATCCTTCATAGAATCCGTCATATATCCTCCTCAAATACTCCACCATATATATCCATCATATACCTCACCATATATCCTCCACATATACTCCACCATATATCCTCTATATTCTCCTCAATATATCCTCCAGATATCCTCTAACATCCTACATATACTCCTCGCCATATATCCTCATTCCTCTGCCATATATCCTCTATATACTCCTCAATATATCCTCCAGATATCCTCTAGCATCCTACATATACTCCTCGCCATATATCCTCATTCCTCTGCCATATATTCTCTATATACTCCTCAATATATCCTGCAGATATCCTCTAGCATCCTACATATACTTCTCGCCATATATCCTCATTCCTCTGCCATATATCCTCTATATACTCCTCAATATATCCTCCAGATATCCTCTAGCATCCTACATATATTCCTCGCCATATATCCTCATTCCTCCGCCATATATCCTTTAGCATCCTACATATACTCCTCGCCATATATCCTCATTACTCCGCCATATTCGCCATATCTCCGCCAGATATCCTTTAGCATCCTACATATACTCCTCGCCATATATCCTCATTACTGCGCTATATACGCCATATTTCCTCCAGATACTCCGCCATATATCCTCATTACTCCGCCAGATATCCTTTAGCATCCTACATATACTCCTCGCCATATATCCTCATTACTCCGCTATATACGCCATATTTCCTCCAGATACTCCGCCATATATCCTCATTACTCCGCCAGATATCCTTTAGCATCCTACATATACTCCTCGCCATATATCCTCATTACTCCGCTATATACGCCATATTTCCTCCAGATACTCCGCCATATATCCTCATTACTCCGCCAGATATCCTTTAGCATCCTACATATACTCCTCGCCATATATCCTCATTCCTCCGCCATTTATATATTTTTTAGTTTCAATGAGCATAAGTTCTTATTTCACAATATTCCACGTGAAACGTATGAAGTAAATATTAATATATATATTTATTTGATTTAGCATGCAATGGTTAAAGATTGATATAAAATAATATTATACATTGGAGCTAAGTGTGGACAGAAGTATACTCCCTCTGATTAATTAGTGTTTATTGTTGTGTTTAATAATGATAATGTAAGAAGGGGAAATATTATTTAAACACTTATTTCCCCGTAACATTATAAATTTATTTTAATTACAAAAGTTACCAAGAACCCTGACAAATTATTATTGAACACATTATTTATCATTTCTTAACCATTTTATTACCAAAGAATGCGTTGAAAAATAACATTGCTGGATTGTATCATTCTCTCAAATATTCTTTTACTTTAAGAACTTTACTTTACAGAATTGAAAAAATGTAAGATTAGTAAAATGGAGGAATAGAGCATCTGATAAAAGTAAACTAAAAATTTCCTGGGTAATTAATTTAGTGTCAAATTTTACTTTTATCTTACTTGATCTAGTTATATTATTGTAGGAAAAAATGTTCTTTTCATTATTGTTTATTATCGTTTTTTCAAATAGCTATATTTAGGGTGACAAATCTACCGAAAGTGTTGTTGCCGCGTAAGTGTTCAGAAAATTTGGATCGTGGATTTTGGCTCCAAATCTTGAAGACTGCAGATTTTGCGGATTTCTGCGCTTAAGTCAAGTTGTAAAACTTGATGATTACCAAGTATATGTTTACAATGTAAAATACCGGATGGGAGGAAGGGAGGAGCTCAACAAAAGGTGAATATTTTCAACTCAACTTTTAAATACAATTTTGGTATCATTATTCAAAATACAGAATGCCCTGGATCGGAGATAGATAATAATTTCAAGAAAAAAACTTTTTTATCGTCAAATTACATCATGTTCATTTTTCATTTTTTGAATTTTTAAAATATTTGATAAAATCGGAACTTAAAGTTGAACTGAGATTGCAGTATTATTTAGAAATTTTTCAGGAATCATTTGAGATCTATCAGACGTTTTTACGGTGCATATTTGTTCAACAAGAACGCAAATTCAATCTTTAAAATCCTCATTGATTTTCCATTTTAGAGAGAAGATTTTGAGAATCGGTTTTATAAAAATTATTCAAAAACGACGAAGAAAAATGTAACAAATGTTTAGGAACATATTTCGCATTAGAAATTTGCAAATAAATCAATGTTAGAATCAATTGTTTCTTTTTCATCATCGTATTGATTTAACTTTTTTCTTATTCATCATGAATTTATTCGCAGATTTCTTTAAATTCTTCAAATGTCATTAAAAATTTCCAGGAAATCTACGAAAAATGGCTTTGAACATTGAGACATAACAGAAAACAATAACTGAATAAGATTAGTTATTTTCGATGATAAGAGTTAATTTTTATTTTCTCAACCTGTTCCTAAACAACTAAATAGTTCACTGGCGAGTTTTTGTTACATTTTTGTGGTCGTCATTGAATAATTTAAATAAAACTGACTCTCAAAATCATTCCTCAAAAAAGAATCCAATACTTTGCCGGTCGCTCCCTTTAAAGAAAAATGTTGAATGTTTTTAATGTTAAGGTGGATAGAGCGTGAAACCCATGTACTTTATGAGAGCCTTGATGGATATAACCTGATCCCCTTAGTTCCTCCTCATCATTTTACATCCAGTCAGTTTAATATCAATCGATCTAATCAAACCAGATCAAATCTGGACAGATCAAGGACGCTCGGACGATCCCATCCTAAAGATCTAGGAAACTTCTACACAGGAACCATCGGGAGATCAAACTATAACCATGCGACAATCAACAGAGCCAACCTATCCCATAAACCTTTAAGAAGATGTGAGCATGATCACTGTGCCCGGAGTCAACCGAACCTTGATGAGCTGACCCCTCAGCTCCTGATCACACATGCCAGCGTGGCGGTCATGGCATCTGCAGAGCAACAAGCTTCAGGTTCATCTATTAAGATTTTAAATCTAGGGATTGAGGGGGCTTCGTGCATCGTTACCTGAATAGCCTATAGATTCCAAGAATTTCAAAATGGTTGAAAGAAATAATTGTGTCTATTCGTAAGAAATTTTAATTTCTCCCATACAACAATGATTTTCATTTCTAGATACGAAGCGTTCATTTTCTATTTAATCCTGATATATTGTAAGATATAATATATTTTGTGGTAGATGTATATATTATATAATATGGTTAGATGTGTATACACTCTACTGTCTCTACTATATGACAATACATGAGAAATGTTTAGATATCAGAGAAGATACTAGAGTAATGTCTTCCATCAAGAACAAGATAAAAATAATATTTCTTGATCATTTCCGGCCATACTTTCTTTTTAGATCCAGTACATATATTACAGATGGATTAAACTAGTTGTGACCTCCAAAAAAAGTTCTTGGAAAAAAAGTTTCCGTGAAAAAGTCCTAATATTTCGGACTAAAAAAGTTCTGTGGAAAAAAGTCCTTTTATTTAAAAGTCTCCGGAAATAAAGTCCTACCAATTCTAGACTTTATTTTCTAGGACTTTTTTCTGCCTCCAGTATGATTTTATACAAAGAAGTCCCCGGAAAACAAGTCCTATTATAGTAGAAAATGCATTAGAATAAAGGATGTTTACAACCATGCAAAAAAGGGGCAATTGATATCAAAAACATCCAGATGGTTATACTCAAAATACAGATGCGTAAAAAAGTCTTTTTTATGAAAACTTCTTAGACTTGACCTCATTTTCACAAGTTTTAGGACTTTTTTCTTGGTTTTTTTTTCTTCGGATATATTTTCCTCAGGACTTTATTTCCTGTGATCTTATTTCCTGAGACTTTATTGATAAAAAAGTTCTGTGGAAAAAAGTCCTTTTATTTAAAAGTCTCCGGAAATAAAGTCCTATCAATTCTAGACTTTATTTTCTAGGACTTTTTTCTGCCTCCAGTATGATTTTATACAAAGAAGTCCCGGGAAAACAAGTCCTATTATAGTAGAAAATGCATTAGAATAAAGGATGTTTACAACCATGCAAAAAAGGGGCAATTGATATCAAAAACATTCAGATGGTTATACTCAAAAATACAGATGCGTAAAAAAGTCTTTTTTATGAAAACTTCTTAGACTTGACCTCATTTTCACAAGTTTTAGGGCTTTTTTCTCGTTTTTTTTTCTTCGAATATATTTTCCTTAGGACTTTATTTCCTGTGATCTTATTTCCTGAGACTTTATTGACAGCCCCCCTACTATTTTAGGAAAAAAGTCCCAGGAATCCAAAACACAGGACTTTATTTCCAAGGACTGGAGAAAATTTGGACTTTTTTCCAAAGTTTTTACTTCCAGGTTTTTTTTCCAGAAACTTTTTTTCCCGGGACTTTCTTAAATAGATTCAGAACCGGTTACTTTCTATGTACATTGTACAGTGTTAACCAGAAAACTCTGGAATAGGAAGTCGACTTTTAAATTTAAATTATGACTTTAAATAGTCCAATAAGCCATAGAAAGCGGTGTTAACAACCCCCTTTCACTTTATAAGTTATCTAATTTCTTTGTAACAACATCTCATACACTTCAATATTGATTTAATGTCGTCTTCCTGTTCCACATTTTTCTGGTAATCACTGTATAGTGTACGTGTACTTATTTTGTGCACGGTACTATAGTATAACAATTGTTCTTTTAATGTAATGTACTTTTCTTCATAAGCCACTATATCATTACAGGAATGTACCAGTACACAAGTTTATTTGTACACTGACACATATTTAGTAATTTATCAGTACACCAGTAATTGAGTACAATGTCGAGTTCACTATTGAGAACACTGTTGAGTTCACTATTGAGTACACTAATGAGTTCACTATTGAGTACACTAATGAGTACACTAATGAGTACACTAATGAGTTCACTATTGAGTACACTAATGAGTACACTATTACTTTTATTAGCCTGTATTATCTGCAGGATTGGAGAGAGGAGAAGAGCGGTATGAATATAAGACCCGGAGTACTGACTGCTGTCAATCCTGGTGTGAGAGAGGAGGAGTGGAACGTATTGTTGTTCTTCTCCTTCTTGGAGCTCTTCTTATCATATTCTCTACGGTAAACCTTATTAATGATAAATACGTTAAAACATGGTAGGTGAATTAAGATTTTAAGCTAATTTGTTACAAATCAACAAAATTGCTGTACGCATAGGTGCGTGTTTGACGGTGAGCATGAAATTTACAGTAAACATAAGTCTACAAAAATATGATCTTGGGGCCTGGTATTTTTTATCCCAATTCCAACGGTAAGACAAGCTAAATTAAACTGATATATATATGACAGATACTAACGACCCAAATCGTCTTGAATAAGAGACTCAACAGTTCTACTAGGACTTGCACACAGAAGGCCCTGTTGATTATCTTGCGTTATATTGGATTTGTGTTCAATAGTTATATAAATTTATCATGTTAAGGTTGTGTTATCCTTGTTTTACCTGAAAACTATGAATACGACGGGACTAAATGTCGTCTTCTCTCGACAGGAGGTTTCCGAGAGAACTTTACTAAAAGATCCTTCACCCAGTCATCCTTCTCCCAACCTACCCTGCTCCACACACCAGTGCCTCACTTTGGCAGCTCGGTAGGCAATTTCTTTAAGGACTAATAAATCTGAGGATTTGATTTTTAATACAGCTGCATTCACAAACCACACAGCTAGGACAACTCTTAGTTCTTTAACTCCAAAGAATCTCGATTTTTTTGTTAAATTCGAAATTCCGCTCGGAATTATAATTTACAGAACATTATTTATTTCTTATCTCATCCTTGTATATGGTTGAATGCACTTCTTTATTCTGTTTTGTTTTGATTATTTACAATTTGTGGCCGACAAATTTTTAAGCTTTGTATCATGTTCCAGCGCAAGTTATTAGTCATTAGTATTTTTTATATTCAATATTTCAATAAACTTTTATCTACAGGGTTACATTCGAAGGATGGGACTTCAGAGACGACTAGGCGGAATTTGTTGAGTCTATTTTCTCATATTCAGGGTTTTCCCTGCAGTTTTTTTCTATCAGAAAAGATTATTTTAAAGGCATATTAGAAAATTCAGACTTTGGATTGTTATATACAAGTCGTCATGAAAGCCTCATCCTTTGCGTGCAAATTTTATGTTGCATCTATTTATTAAAACCCGGGAAATGACGGGTATACAGAGCGTCCCCTTATAATATTGAATTATCTTTCATCTGTGTCTTCATCTGTACATAATACTGTATTTTCTGCATCTAAACATTTAAATTAGCCTTGTACAAGGTTTTGAAATGATTCAGACTTTGAAAATCTTATGTTTTGTCTCAAAAATCTTATTTTCGAGCTATAATGAGGAATACCCTGTACAATTTACATAAAGATTATTGTTTATATTTCTAGAATAGAATCTGTGTCGAGCAGGCAGGGTGACCCATGTTCTAGCTTCTATGAAGCTGCGTGTGGAGGTTGGGTTGGATCCAGGAATATTACGCGACCCATGGATACTATCTCAGTGCTAGACCAACTCAAGCTCGACATTGATAAGAATATCAGGGGTAAGGGAAAACCACGAACTGCACACACACCGTGCTCGGCGTTTATATCAATACAATGAAGACGACTTTTCTATTCAAGCTTTTTCAAATTAAAAGTTACAAGCATACTAAGAGAAGCTTTTAATTGACAGCTTCTTTATGTTTCAATGTTTATGTGTATCCATGCTGTTAAAAAGCTTGGTAGAAATTAACATTAAAATAAAAAATCATTCGCATTGTATTAATATATACAACGACAACTGAAGAACAACAGAATATTATTTCAGTTTTTCGTGTCTCAATTTAGAGTTTATTTACCAACTCTTGGAATTTGGATCAGCATGGTTAAATTAGCAATATTTTCAAATATCAGAACTTTTTTGCTCTGGATCACGGGGTCAAGCATTGATTTCCATGTTGTGTGCAGACCAACGAATTTTTTTTTAATCCTCTTGGATATCTCGTTGTGCAAGGATCAAGCACTTAAATCTCTTTAAAATTCAAAAGTTGTCACACTGGATTTCGACATCCAGTGCTGTAAAGATTAGCGCCATTTTACACTAAAGTTTTGACTAAGCAAACAATGGTTAGATTATCTGCTGTATTTAAATTAAGAAATGTTCTAATTTCACAACTTTAAACGTTGTTGAATTGTTAATATCAAATCAAAACTAATTTAACTTTTTAACTTTTTAATTCTTTATCATTTGCTAATTTTCTGGTTTCTGAAGAAAACTTAGAATTTAAGTTTATTGCAAATATAGTAAAAGTTAACCCACAGCTTGCGGCGGGATTTTCTAGATTGGGAGGATGCAACTTTTACCAAGATTTTGATTAAAACAATCCAAGTTTCCCCTGATTAAACTTTTTCTAAATATTGGTTTAATATTTGGCGGGAGGATAGTTTCTCCAATCTGGTGCAAGGAATCTACTCAATTTATTCCACAACCAACCATCAGCCATATAGTCAACATGTCACATCATATTTTAGGCTGTTCAACAAATCAGAAAAATTGAAATCTTTTCGGATATTTTGATTTCAAAAGATTGTTTACAAAATAAATACTTCCGAATATTCTCTTGACTACCTACATAATTCTCTAAACTGCCTCCGACCTTCCCGTTAACCTACTATGGCCCGGCATCCTGTGACCTCCCAAAGCCAACAATCCTTCCAAAGAATCTAATGTGTCATCTCTAGAGCTCTATTCCTTCCCTATATGCTTCTTATGATCATATTCCAGCCTCCAGAACTTCCCTTTAACCTCCTCGTTTACGTACTGGCCTACAACCTTACTACTAATCCCTTTATAAGCCACCAAACCTACCCTAGAATCTCCTATAACCTACGTAAAGCCTCCAAACCTACCCTAGAATCTCCTATGACCTACCTAAAGCCTCCAAACCTAACCTAGAATCTCCTTTGACCTACCTAAAGCCTCCAAACCTAACCTAGAATTTCCTATGACCTACCTTAAGCCGTCAAACTTAACCATGAATCTCCTATAACCTACCTAAAGCCTTTAAACCTACCCTAGAATCTCCTATGACCTACCTAAAGCCTCCAAACCTACCCTAGAATCTCCTATGACCTACCTAAAGCCTTCAAACCTTCCCTTTAACCATTTATGACCTTCTGAAGCCTCTAAACGTTCCCTATAATCTCTTCTGACCTTCTAAAGCCTCTTCTAACCCTTCCCTATATCCTCCTATGATCCATTGAAGCCCCCAAACAACCTCCCCTATAACCTTCTATGAACTATCTTAGCCTTCTAGCTCTATAACCCCTTATGCCATACCAAACCTCCTAACCTTTTTAATAACCTTCTATAACCTACTGCAAGGCCTCTAAACTTTCCCCGGAACCTCTTATTCCCTATCTAAACCTCCTAACCTTCCCTATTACCTCTTATAACTTACCTAAACCTCCTAACCTTTCCTACAAAACTCCTACTGACCTACTAAAGCCTCTTAACTGCTTTAGTAATGGTCTACATTCCTTTTTTTACTCTTGTGCGCTATCCTTCAAACTATTCTGTCACCTTCTAAACCCCACATATTTATCTTCTAAACCTTTACAAATGAATATTTAATATTTATCTAATTTAGACCTGATAATGTCCTTGGGAGATTCCAATAACGGGTTTGGTAAACTCAAATCCTTCTTTATCTCCTGCAGCGACGAAGATACTATCCGGAGAAGGAGAAGTGAACCTATCATCAACTTTATCAAGGAACACTTTTCTCCAGCCCTGGATCCTATGACGGGGGATACTGGAGATCTTACAGATATTATCACAGGTGCTTATCTACGTTTTAAACAATTAACAAATAAAGAGATTTTAAGGCATATCTGAAGTTGAATTCAGATATCTGTATACGTACTTGTAGGTGGCCCTCCATGCATAGATTGGCATGTCCCCGATTTACAACGGTACCCTTCAAACCATTGTCTGATGAAGGATAGATAGATAACCTACAAATGAATTTCTTTCAAATTGTGTTTTCTGCGTAAAGAAAGAGCTTTATGATACAAAAAAATGTAGAAAGGAATTGAGTCTTTGCCACAAACTCTGATTTTCTAATCCCTAAATCTACTTAACCCAATTTCGTAGACCTTAGATATTTCAAACTATGATTTCTCTTATATCAAATAGTCTAAGTTTGAAATATAAAAATTTTACACCATCAGGTTGCAAAGATACGGGGATTAGAAACTTTGAGTTTGTGACAAAGACTCAGTTCCTTTACAAAATAAAAAAAATCATTTACAATAACGACGATATCTTCCCATTGTTACGCAAATAGAGGTTTAAAGGGTGCCTTTGTGAATCGGCAATGTCATCCTTTAAATGAAGGCTCACTTAAAGTTACCTGTATGATTACGACTTTATCATGTAATCATATTTCTTGAGTTCATGTTTTCTACGGCACAATTTAATTTTCACAAAATGAATGTTAGAATTAATATTTTGTTTTCCATTTTAAAATTATTTTTCAGATTTGTTAATGTTTGGTGGTTCATCGATGTTTGATGTGAGCGTAGATATTCATCCTTTTAATAGTTCTCAATATATTATTCTTGTTAAACTACCTTCACACTCAAACCTTCCAGCACTCTTTCCTGTACCTGGAGATCCATTGTATCCAACCCTAGATCCATTGTATCCAACCCTAGATCCATTGTATCCAACCCTAGATCCATTGTATCCAACCCTAGAACCAACCAAACAGTATCCAACCCCTGATAACGAGTATCCAAACCTAGGACCAAATTCATTGTATCCAAAAACAAAATCAGCATTTGAAAGTTCTGGGTTTGAACCTAGTTCATCAAGTTCTGATTCTCACGGGATATTCTCTGATCCTAAACCAGGTTCAAACCTCAAACCAATCAACATTTTCTCTTCCTTTAACCACAAAAACAAGGTAAGTTCGTATCTATCCGTTCTTCCTGAGAATATATTAATGAATTTTATCTACAGAGTTATTTCTTTTTCTACAAAAATTATAGGATGAGGATAAATAATAAAATGTTGCTTGGCCAAATAAATGGATGTATCTAGATAAGGATAAAATGTTGTTTGGCCAAATAATTGGATGCATCTAGATCAGGATAAAATGTTGTTTGGTGAAAGGATCTGGCTAAAAACTGTTTTTTTCTAATCCCTATATCTTCGCAGCCTGATAGTATAAATCTTTATTATTTTAAACTGCATTGGGTTGCAAAGATTTAGGGATTAGAAAATTTGTGTTTGTGGGAAAAAATATCAAAAAATATTAAAAAAGAGTAAAAGATAACAATAATGCAGAAGATATTAGTTTTGGAACTAATATCCCCTGTAATGGGCAAACAAATTTAGCCTTTGCCACAAAATCAAATTTGTTAATAACTTTATATTTGCTACCTGATGGAAAAAAAACTGTAATATTTCAAACTTAGATTATTTTGGTCGAAGAGAATTCATATTTTGTAATAACTACGGTCTGATACATTGGATTGCAAAGATATAGGGATTAGAAAATCAGAGATCAAAGACAAAATTGTTCAAGATCAGCGTAAAGAACAGAAAAATCAAAACAAACTCGAAATTTCTAATCCCAACCTCTTTGTAACCTGAATTTAAAGACCTTAGATGATTCAAACGCTGAAAAAAAGCTTCTTAGTCAAATCTTATTATATACAATATCAGACATAAACTTCTGAACCATACAAAGCTAAATAATTTGACACTTACGAAAAATTTATTCTAGCCAAAAAAAAAACATTGTTTTGCCATTTTTTACTGTTTTAAAGTAAAAACAATGATTGGTACCTTTTACATTTCCATATTATCTGAACATTCCAGTTTTATAGAAAACAGTTTACTCACAATTTGCTTCACTATAAACAATGCAATTCCATTGCATAGTATTGTGGTTTTCAGGTCGTCAACAAAAATCAGTATTCTCCGAATTTAAATTTTATAAACAATTTTTAGTTTTAATTTTCTTAACGTATAGGCCAGGGGTTTTCCTTAATAAATCAATCCAAACTTGAATTATTTTCCTGAAAGATTTTCTCAATTTCATGCAGAGGAAAATATGAATTATTATTTCAGTCGGAGCAAGGAAGGCAAAAGAGAGAACTCAAGCAAACCCAGCAAAATATAATATCCAGTCAACAACTTTTTCAGGATATTCAGGTTATCTAGCATAGTATCCTTTATATATTCCAGATTTCAGGATATTCAGGTTATCTAGTATAGTATCCTTTATATATNACATTAAACAACAAATATCTCTAACCATAGTATGTCTAAGTATGAAAGAATAAGGTTCTTTAATATAGACAAAAAACTTAGTTCTTTTTATTTGTTGTTTTGGAGTACGTTCAATGTGTGAATAGTATTTTAAGATAAAATTAGTGATAAATTAGTATTAAACAAGGTAAATAAACTGTAAATTCAAGCATCAAAAAGTAGCCTAGAGAGGGCTGAAAGTAGCCTTAAAAAATTCTCAATTTAGCCTTTTCCTTCTTTTCAAACCTGGCAACCCTGTCCAAGACAAAAGTTTCTCCGGTCAAATTGTTTATATTGTAGAATGCCGCTGAATCGCACAGTATAGGAAACCTGATAAACCTCGTGGAAGAATTTGATTTGCTCTCCTCCTACTCACAACCCTTCAAACAAACTACAGCAGATGAAATTGTCGGATTCATTGCAGCACTCAGCAAGGTAAACACCATGAATAGTTAAAAGAACGGGGAGACTTGTTGACAGGACTGTAAGAATAGGATGGGTCGATGTTTAGAACTTACAATAAAGAATGGCAAGCTGTTTCAAGGAAAAAATGTACGGGAAAAATCATATTTTTATCTCCAATTTCTTTTATCATAACAAATCCATATTAATTAATTATTATTTAAATAAATTTTGACATTTTTTATGTGTTCTTTGACAAGCTCTCAACCTCACAATGAAATTTGAAAAAATGATTCAAATGATTTCATTGAATTTGGACCAATGATAAATACGAAGAATTTGGATTAAAGAAGATTTTGCAAATCCCAAAATTTTTCAAATTAAAAATTCTCAATTTCCTATTTTAGTTTTATTGACCTAATTTTATACATATTTTTACTTAAATACCCTTTTATTTTATTTCCATGTATTATTAACTCTATATTGGTTGGTTCCTAGGAACAACTAACTAATTCTGAACCTTTTGTAAACTTTATAAACCCTGCCTCGAACATTATAACCGTTGAATCTGAATCTGATCCGACTTTATACGAGGTACAGAGCAGGGCTAAAAAGATACAGGATTTTTTCGGTTCAAGAATAGTACTCCTGAAGTAAAATGGATCGGAATGATAACAGGAGAGAGAAAGAAATAAAGAAGAAAACTGAGAAAAAAGTGAAGAAAAGAGAAGAGAAAAGGAGGAACCTAATAAAAGAGAAAGAAGGAAAAGAAATTAAATGAGGAAGGATGAGAAAAAAAGAGAAGAGGATAGTAGAGTAGAGAAGAGGAGTTTATAAAAGAAGAAAAGAGAAGAAGAGAGAAGAGGAGAGAAGAGGAGAAAAGAGGAGAGAAGAGGAGAGAAGAGGAAAGAAGAGAAGAGAATGGGAAAGAAGAGGAGAGAAGAGGAGAAAAGAGGAGAGAAGGCGAGAGAAGACGAGAGAAGAGGAGAGAAGAGGAGAGAAGAGGAGAGAAGAGGAGAGAAGAGGAGAGAAGAG